GTACTAAATCACACTCCCGAATCAATCTCATCCACGAAACTCCGACTACTGAAAGCCGTCCAATCCCGACACGTCTGCGCCATAGACTCCGGAATAGCAAGCCTTTCGATGTCGTCCGGTCGTTCCTTTACCACAGAAGATATCCCCATTAGCAATCCATTCCACAACAGAGCATAAGTAAGAAAAAATAATGAATGAAGAAAACTTACAACCACATTCAAAAGCAACCCGACACTAACATGCCACGACATATGACAATGAAGCGGCCAAACACCAGGATTATTCGCCTGCCATTCAAGCACCACATACGCGGGACTATCCTCCGTACCCGGCTGGACGATCTGTGTATCGCGACGTTGAGGATTCATAGGATTAGTGACGACTCCGTCCCAGGTCCCTCTTCCCTGGGCTAACACCCAGTAGTTATGGCCGTGGAGGTGCAGCGGGTGCTGCATGGAGAAGAGATTATAGATGATGAGACGAACGGAGGAGTTAGAGCCGAAGTTGTAGACGTTCAGGTCTGGGTCTGGGTCTGAGAAGTTGCCGGACTTGCCTAGGAGGAGGAGCGGGGTGTTGTAGTCTGAGCGGAAGGTGGAGTTGTTGATGTAAAATAAGGTGTGGCCGGTGGTGTTTTGGGCTAGGGTGATTTCGATGGTTTGGGTGGTTGCGGGTGTGGATGGGGGTGTTTGGGGGTAGTAAGGGACTGTGAGGTTGAGGGGGTCGTTGGCGCAGTTGTTACTTTCCCAGGTTGTTGTTGTGGTGGTGGTTGGCCAGGTTGCTGTATCGGCGTGTTCGTAGTAGATGGCGGCTTTGACGGTGGGGATGCTGGCTGTGGCGTTGAGGCAGGTCATGTCGATGGAGGCGCGCATCCAGTATGAGTCTGTTGGATTGCCCGTGGCTGTTACTATTACGTCTGTGCGCTGGCCGACACCGAGGGTGACGACGTCGGTGGTGTAGGGCTGTACGGGGACGAAGTCGTTGGCGATCACGGTCATGGTATGGTTGTCGATGGTGAACTTCTGGTTCGCGTTGGAGCCGGTGTTCATTAGTCGGAGACGATGGGTTTTGCCGGATGAGAAGTTGAAGCGGGATAGGCTGGAGCTGGGGCTGCAGGTGGTAGTGGAGCTGCTGTTGCAGTTGTAGGCGCCGCGGCCGTTGATCAGGTTATTGTCGACGTTGGGGAAGACCGGGGGGATGGAGAAGATGCTTTCCAGGACTTCGAAGTAGCTCAGGTGGCTGTAATCGGAGATGATGACGGGCCCTAGGTCATAGTCGTAGGTAGCTTCGGGCTGGACAGGGCCGTGGATGATCATGGGCCCGTATGCGCCATCGGTGTATTGGGCGCTGTAGTGGGAATGGTACCAGCTAGTGCCGTACTGGTCGGCTTGGAAGGTGTATGTGAAGCTTCCTCCGGGGGCGATGGGGCACTGGGTGATGCCGGGAACTCCGTCTTCCCAGGGAGTCTTGGCTTGTGTGAGTCCATGCCAGTGCAGGGTCAAGCCTTCTGCGGTGTCGGTTGTGATCATGTTGTTGACGGTGACGGAGATCATGTCGCCCCAGTTGGCTTCGATTAATGGGCCGGGAAATTGCCCGTTTATGAGGATGCCGCTCTTCTGGTAGCCATCTGGGGCGGTGATGTCCCGTGTGATGGTAAAGTTGTAGTGACGTGTAACACCTGTGTCAGGGGGTCCTCCTGAGGGCGAGATGTCCTTCCATGGGGGGTGTTCGGGGTTGGAATGCTGCTTTTGGTTGTTGCCATTAGAGTGCAAGAAAGGGCCAAGAGGGGATGTTGGCAAGAGGCCGTAAGAAGAGAGACCTGAGAAGATATCAATTAGCCGCGAGAGCGTTTATAGGGTTGGACGGGAAGAAAAGGGGCATTATGAAGAATACCGTCAGGGAGATGTGACTCAAAGGGGTTGAAGGAGGCAACCGTCCCCAAAAGGAGGAACCAAGACTGCCAATAGACCATGATATTACGCTATTCTGTTGTTTGCTGGGGAGACAGCATGATTTCAGATGGGTCGCAGCTTAGATATAAGTATGTTTCACTCCTGGATAAACACGGATCCTGCGAGTTAGATATAAATTTAGACTTATGAAGGATCAACCCTTACGCCAGATTTGAGGTGAACGATTGATCTGAGTGGGAACAGGGGGCTTGTAGATTGCTAGCCACGTTTCCCTACGTTTCTAGCATGCTTGTTGGGATCATCTATAGTACTACTTCAAATACTTAGTTCACGAACCCAGATCATGACACCAAATAGGGATGTTTCCAGAACTCTACAGATCTGCATCAGCAACGTGGTGCGAATCTGGAGAGCAACGATAATCCATGACTATGAGGGCCAGCTCGACCCCCAGATTCGAGTTGAACAGGATCATGTTTGATGCACATTTAGCGACGGCCCCCAATAAGCGACCCACTTACGGATAAAGATTTAGAAGATCTGGAGTTATGTCACTGTAGACATTGATTCTTTGTTTGGCCCCCACAATACTACTGCTTACTACTGGTTAGTATCTAGAGACTTACCCTACCTAATTGCTTGCTGAGAATGTTGATGCGGCATGTTGCAACGATCAATAACTGGACACTCTATTATCTGCCACGCACTTTTTGATGATTTGCATTCATAAGTAATCATTCAACCTGAGTAATTCATAAGCCATATGTGAAGAAGTAAATCTTCGAACATAACTATCTCTCTTCTAGTTTATCTACTCTGTATCACGACTCTCCCCCATACACCACTCTCATCCACCCCCCATTAAAAACTTCTTCAACCTACGCCAAAAGATCCACCAAATACTGAGCCAAAAACCCAGCCGACTTACTCCCTCCAACAATAAAGAACCCCATACGGAACCAATACAAACAACTAGCCGGCTTGGTCAAATCGACCGAATAAATCATCACGGCCAACGAAAGCGCGGTGCCACCACAACCCACGAGGAAGTAAACCCCGGACAAGCCCGCAGTAACACCCACCGCAACCATGAACCCAACCATAACGACACCAAGCACAGATGCAATAATCTTCGTAGAATGTCTATACCTAACCGCCATGGACTTAACACCCGCCTGAACATCGTGCTGCACATCCTGATGCGCGTAGATGGTCTCATAAATAATCGTCCAGACGAACTCAACCACGAACAAGCAAGCCGCCGGAGCGGAGAACGGGTCCACGCCCATCCCGACAGCGGGGAGGATCATAGTCACTGAGAAGGGCAGGCCCAGGAAAACGGGAGTGAAGTCCATGAAGCGTTTACAGAGGGGATAGATAGCGTGCAGCACGCCCATGGCGAGACTGTATGCGTGACATTGGGCGGGGAGGTGGCTCAGGATCCAGGCGGTGATGGCGACTTGAGCTAGGGTGAAGATGTGGCCTTGCGTGGTGGAGACGGCTCCGCGGGCAATGGGACGACAGCGGGTTCGGGGTACTTTGCGGTCGAAGTCTTGGTCGACATTGTCGTTCCAGGTGCAGGCGGCCCCGCGGATGAAATTGGTGACGATCCAGAAGAAAATGAATGATTTGAGGAACTCAGGGGCTGTGATGGGTGGAGAGGCTAGTGTGGCGCCCGCAGAGAGGCCCATTAGAGTGGGCATGAAGAAGCCGAGGAAGCCCGGACGGTCAAGCCGCATTAGTTGGACGTAGGGAACCCATGATGATGGGACCAGTTTGGCTACGCCTTGGATTGGCATCTCGTTTGTGGCCGGGGCTTTGACCTCCTCGTGACGGGCGGTTATGGCCACTTTGTGCACGGTTTGGCGCTGGGTAAGGGTCTCTTCCATTGTGTTGGAGCCAGGGGGGAAGGATGGTTGAAGGATGGATTAGGGAGGCTATGATAGGGTAGACACTGTGAGTGCAGTGTTGAGAAGTGTATGTCTAAACTTGGAGGAACCGACAGTGCATTTGGAAGGATGAAGGATGATTGATAATGGATTGTTCTGGTTCATTGATATGGGAGGAATGTGTCTTATATATCTTCGATTCCACCATATATTGCACACACACATTGTTCTAGATACAGATATTGATCCGAGAACAGGTAGATACACATGGGCTGAGAGATTATTCTGCCAAGTCGTCGTTCCCAAGCTATACTCACCATCTGGAGACAGGCAGACTCGAGCCATGGCAAATGCAGAAAACTGGACGAGTGAAGACTGCGGGCTGTGCTCACGGTGCCCCTCCCTCTTCGATTAGGTTGGGGTCCAAGAAATGGGGCAGTAAAGCAAGCGAGCCAGCACTGGTTTAGCGGTTCACTGTGAGGGAGCCGTGCTGTAGTCCGAATGCAGTAAGTGATGTGCTTGATAAGGCGTTCTGCCAGTTATTCGGACCGTCGATCTTTGACTATTTGCGGAATTTGTTTGATGCATACAAAGGAGTGTCTTGATAGTTGATACAGATGAGGCTGTAAATTCAATTGTTAGTAGATTTCATAGCATTTGATTTCGAGATCAGGGATCAAATGCATCAGCGGATAAGTATTTAAGCATGTTTTGGCAGGTCTCCACTTATCACTTGTCTAGACACACTACTACTGGTACTCCACTGCACCAAGTGTTTGCAGCTGCAGCTAAGAGTTATGCCGGAGCAGTCAAAATCTGACGTGAGAAGTAATATATGAAATAGAAAAACAAAAAAATAGTGAAAACGGAAGAGCAGAAAATGATACACTACGGAGTACTTGCAGCACAACTGGGATCGAAAACATAGATCTAGCGGTACTGCCACATAATACAGCAGAGTAACAAGACGTAATCTGTTATATTAACTGCTCAGTCTCGGAAATGAACTCTGCTTCCAGCGAAATGGGGGCGAAACTATCTCCAGGTCTCCGCATATCAGAGAGCGGCTTTAGCCCCCACCGAACTAATCGAAAGGAGCCCTATCTCCGATTTGACATGGGCCAATACACTAGCAACATGGAGAAAATTTAATTTTCAATTGAGCTAAGTAGAGGTACGTGCACCAGCAATAAGTTCTGCATTATGCAGCAACGGCTTCGATAATACTATCCTGCAAGCTCTCCGTGTACGTGTGCACCTTGTTAATCTTCAGCCCTGCGCTCTGTAACAGCTGATTCCACTGTTCCTGAGTTCGCTCCCGAGCGCCCAAGGCCGCCATCATGAGCATGTCTAATTGTGCCTGCTGCCAGTGAACGCCAACATTAGGCAGGACCATGTCATCAATCAGGATATAAGAGTCTGGGGCCATAGCATCCTTGATATTCTGCAAAATCTCCACGCACTTGTGATCTGGCCAATCGTGGAGGATATTCCGCAAGTAGTAGAATTTCGCTCCTGTTCTCATGTTAACGATTGTATACTACAGGGTAAGCGATGGGAGTTGGGAGAGGTCGTACCTTTCACTGGCTGGGGAGTGAAAAAGTTATAAGCCATGAACTCTACGCCAGGATGCTGTGTCGCGTTGGCCGTGGTCGGGGCCAGATCCTGAACAATCACTCGGCCTTCGAGTTGGCTGTACTTTTCCCGGAAGGAAATAGCTTGCTGACCGAACCCTCCTCCAATATCCACGAAAAGGGCTCGGTCGGCGCTTGTTTCACTGGCCTTATCCGGGGCTGGAAAGACATCCAAGAAGGTGGGCATGCCGAATCGATTGGCTTGCATGTGTTCATTGAAGAATGCCAAATTCTCAGGGTGTTCTTGCAGCCATAGAAATGCCGGTAATTCCGTGTTCATGACTCTCTGGAAAGGTGTCTTTACATTATCCTGAATATCGGGGTATCCGTTCTCTTCCAGGAAGGCCGGAAGATCCTGGATGGACGGGCCGGCATTGTTGAAGCTGCATTACAAGGCTGTTATTAAATCAAGTCCCTTGTGAGAGTCCGGGGGAGGGTACTACATACAGATGGCCAACAGCAGCTTGGAATCCACGCTGGGAAAAGGTTCTAGAGATGTTGGACGCAGTGAACGTATCTTTGGCCACCTCCTGGACGGCGTGATAGGAAGCCAAATAACGCAGTAACCGGCCTTGTTCGGTTAGAACCGAGCTCTTCCACTTGTTGGGGAATTACATACCCATGAACACTGGATTGGCTCCCGTGCTCTCACTCAGCTGGTCCACAGTGAGGGGGCCATCGGCCTGTGTTAATAGCTCGAATAGCTTTAGATCGATGGCGGTGCGGATACAAGCCAGTTGCATGTTCTGGTGAGGGAATATCCAATTAACTACACATGGCCTAGCCAACTGCAGGACGGGTGCATACGTAGAAGGTAAAGCGCTGAACAGTATCATCTGGAGATTCGATAGAAGCATACAGCTTGCTCAGTGAATCCAAGATATCCTTGCGTGTTTTCTCATCACCGGCCTTGGCCTGTCTCCGGACTTCTTCCACTAGGGCCTCCATGGTTTTCTTTGCTCGTTCGTATGTTTGCTGGGTTTTCGAGTCACTGGCGGATGTTGAATTTTGAGAACCAATGGGGTGAGATGAGGCCTAAGTAGGGCAGGATTGTTACTACTATTTAACTACAGGGAAGATCACACTGTACACAAGGTGCAAACATCACATTGGGCATCCTTGATGCTGGGTTTGTGCTAAAAGACAAAGAAAGAACCTCTGGGCGGTTAATGTCAATGCCGCCTCCAGCAACCTACGTTTGGATTTCCAGGGGACCCCTGCGACTTCTCTAGTAGTCTAAACTCCAGTAAACTAAGCTTTGATTTGTATGGTGGAGCCGATTTGGGGGCTGCAGCAGCACTGAAGCCCTGGTCCACATAGGGTAAGTCGCTCCCCGCCATGGAGGGCCGCTTTCCACCGCAAACGATAATACAGACGGGATAATCTGATCGACGGCTGGTGGAGACCCTAACCCACAGAGAGCAATCACGCCGAGCCTTCGCAGCCTTTGAGTTGGCCGCTCGGCTACACAAATTCCCAAATTCATACTAATTTCTGACGAGCGGAGCCTTAGACCAAGTCTGTTCACGGCTCGCGTTCCAGTTGCATGTCTCCGGCCAGCGCAGCCACTGGGAATGACGAACAACGAATCACACTAACTGGTCAGTACCTGTCGGCAGAGGACAAACATCTTGCTAATAAACTAGTGAGAAATCGTACAGAAGTGTCAGCAATACGCATTAACTGCCGATAATCTCAGTGGATGGTGGCTAACTCCACATGTGGTAATATTCTTTCGGCTATCCCGTAGACTGAACATGTGCCCAGCAGGTACTTCTCCTCACTTTGGCCCCCAGACAGGTACAAGATTGTACATGAGTCCGATACAGCCACCAGGTCGATCGGGCTCACTACCACAAACTGGCGAGGTTGACTGCATATTCCAGCTGCACGTCTACGCCTGTGGGGGCGTCTTATTCATGGATGCATGCTTATATGCGTGAAAACCCCTCCTTTCGCTATGATGACCAGCCGAGCCCATATCAGTCGTCCCTACCAGCCTCGGTCGCGAAGCAGAAAGAAAAGCATTCAGCATGAGTGCACCACCGGCTGGCGGTGATCAGAATCGCGGCCCTGCTCTGGTGGCTATTTACTGGGCCGAGACATCTTTCGCCATTCTGGCGGTCGCATTGCGACTTTATGGTCGGAAGCTAATCAATGGCTTTGGCGCTGATGACTATATGATGGTCTTCACACTGGTACGCACTCCATTCCTCCTCCTATAGCCCTCATCCAACCATACTAATATGTATCTCCTCTTCCCCTTCTTCAGCTCCTATTCATCACTCTAGCTGCATTTGTGACCTACCTCGCCGACAAAGGAGGCTGTCGACATCTGTACTACTTAACAACCGACCAACAACTCTTAGTCGTGAAGTTCAACTGGATCACTCAAGTATGGGGGATTTTCGGCTTTGCGACTGGCAAGAGCTCAGTGGCTCTACAAATCAAGCGAATCTTGGGCCCCAATGATAACTGGATGAAATGGCTCTTATGGTTCCTCATGATCTCTACCACCATCTTCTGCGGGTTGGACTGCCTCTTCGGCTTCGTGCAGTGTGATCCTCCCCGCGCTCTATGGGAGCCTTGGATTCCCCATACCTGCTGGAACACAAACGTACAGGCGAACTTTGCGATATTCATTTCAGGTATGTTGCCATTAATATCCCATGAGACCATCTTTGCCTTTGGACTATCTGACTGATATCGTTGCCTATAGCATGGAACGTGCTGGTAGATCTTGTCCTCGCTGCTCTCCCCATCCCGATTATCTGGCGGACGAGTCTTACCCTCAAGCAGCGGATTGCTACCTGTACCCTTCTTGGGCTTGGTCCATTGTTAGTATTTGATCCTTTATTCTTAATGAATCATAACTAACTTCTTTATTCTAGAGCTGCAGCCTTCGGCCTCGTCAAAATCCAATACCTCGCTGGATTGAAAGAGCGTTCTGATCTGACCTGTACAGCCTCCCCCCCTTCTTCCCAACCCCCTTCTTTCCCACAATGATCACTGACTCCGTCTCCTCACAGGGCAAACATACAACCTATACGTCTGGTCCGGGTCCGAACTCTTCGTGATCATCATCTGCGGCTGCGTGCCCCCGATGCGTCCTATATTCACGACGCTGTTCGGACAGAACAAGAGCCAGTTTACAGGCTACTATGACTCCTCCTCTGGATATAAGCGTCGACAGAATTACAAACTCAGTACCCTGGGATCGTCGCAGCCGGTCCAAAGTCAGGATGAGGATACGGAAGCGCTGCATTCTCGGGTGGAGGGGACCGGTTCACATTTGCCCCAGTCGCGTTTTAGTGAGGGCGGGATTTATCGGGAGGTTAATATATCGATAGTGGAGGGGCCTAAGTGATAAGTTATATTTATATTATAATTGATTAACGATATTGGTGCATTTGTTATTTGGTGCTTGACTCCCTTTGTGGTTTTATAAATGCCATTTTGCAGGAGTTACTTCTCGTTTCGAGTAAGATATGGTATTGATACTATAGGTAAACGGCGCCAACCTGCTGTATCGACTACAATTTTGCCGCTAGGGTTATGTTTTCCACGAGGGATGGAGTAAACAATCGTCGGGTTCTGCGTTGCCCCGAGGAAGAGAAATAAGCGCAACAATGGGGAAGAACGGTTGGAGAGAGATGCAGTAGAGTCGCCTCAAGGGAAAGGCAGAACGGCGAACTTAACCCAACCCACTGGTTTTCCTTCCCAATCAAACTGTCATATCTCTCTCTGTAAAGGGTCCGAGTTGCGACGAATGCGATCCGGACGACGCAGGAGTAAAATTGCTAGCTTGGCGGCCTTGACTAGTCGTGGATCCTCCATTTGGCTCCTGATTGGTCCCTTGTTTCGTGCTGAAACATTACTCAATTTATATAGATAGATAGATAGTAGATTGGGTTGCCCTCATTCAGCGCAGCCAGGGCACTTTTGTAGGGCGTATGCGACCGGAACAGGCCTCCAAACTGAGAATTCGCTAAATACAGGACCCTTTTCCTTCACTCGTAATGTAACGCGTATTTGGCAGTATTGCTCAAATACCGTAATTTCAAATGTAAGCTATACCCAACTCAAACTGGCCAATCAGACCGTATATATCCAAGCTCTTTCAGGGTTGCGTTTTCCTGTGGGACTTCCTTTCCTTCTATCCTCACGTTCTTCCTCAATGTTCTTGGGCTCGTTTTAAGCTTCGGCGTAAGGCAGCTCCTGCCGGGGCCCGCTCGCTCCTCTTCCCTACCCGGTCGAACGCTTCCGACCTTACCCAATTTGATGTCCGTTTGTTCTCGGAGCACATCATAGATGAACTGAAATTGCATCTCGTTGTAAACCATCATCATGCGTTGCTCGCGCATCTGGTTAACCGTGTCAAAGACAGGGTCGGCTTCGGGATCGGCTAGTTGCAGCAACTGGCCCGATTCAAGCTCTTGGAGGAGATGATCAAGGGCAATGAAAGTTCCAGTGCGGCCGACTCCTGAGCTGCAGTGGACCACACGTGAATTCTGAGGCCCCGATTTGGAAGCTGATAATCTGATCAGTTCAAGGAGAGCCTCGCGATCGTCGCCTTCGGGCTTTGAATAATCTGCCCAGCCTGCAAAGAGAAAATGCCACACAATTTTCGTCTCCAAGCCGATTCTCAGCTCAAGCTTGCGGATCTCCGAGCGAGACTTGACATCAAATGTTAGCTCTAATAAGGTAATCATGCCAATTACTTTGCGGGGTTTCTCCTGGCTGTTTGAATCGGTCATGAATGTATCTAAATCCTGAATAGCAGTGGCTCTCTTTGACTCCTTGGGAGTTTCCTCGTTGAATATCTCCTCAGCAACAGAGCGGCCAACAATGGTGGGTGCAGAAGTTTCTTCAACCTCAGCGGTCTCGGTCTTCTTGGCCACGGGAGTCCCAGTTGTCTCTTTGGTGGTTTCGAATCCTTCTTCGGGGGCAGTCGCCTCGTTGCTAGACTGGCCAATAGCAGCAGGCTCAACGGGGTTGGTGTCTTGAGTCTTCTGTCTTTCAACCGTCCCCTCTGGAAAAGGGTTTCCAGTAGGCTCCTCAACCAGGATCATCGAGGCCTGCTCCAGGTGCGAAGGAAAGTACTGTGCACATCTTTCCCGACCAGCCTCGAAGGTCTGCGTCAACATGACAACGACAGCCACATCTTTGCTTTCATGGAAAACCATTTGCCAAAAGTGCGAGATATAACCAGATACAGGGCCCTGCCGAGTGAGACGACGGTCATTGTTAGCATGGGTAGAGCGAGGCACACAAATGCTAGCCTAGAACAAAGTCATCAAGTACGCCAAGAATTTGGTCAACGTACCTGCGTCGCAATATATGTTCTCTCCTCTTGCGTGGCCGAGTCCTTCAGTATGATCGGTGAGGCGTTGATGAAATCACACTCGCCCTCGGGCACCCGTAGATGAATCCGGCAGTTCGCCCATGCCTGGACATTGACATATCGATTGCGGGCCTTGACTTCGGGATCATCTTGTTCAAGGGCGTAGGGATGCGCGGGATCGTTGGCAAGCATGCCTTCGCTTAGACGCATCCTTTGCTGCCATTCAAGTTCATCAAACCTGTCGTGAATCTCTGCGAAAAAGAAAACGATCAGTCAGCCGGCTTCCCACATGTGCGAGGCGCTCCCCTGCCTCGTTTTCCCTACTTCCTTTATTTTGACATCGGTCGTATGTTCTCCGCTCCCTCACTTACCCGAGTCTGATTGGCACAGGAACGGTGGCAAATCATCTGTATTGTGATCATCCAATCTGAAGTTTCCCTCCTCGCCAAACATCTCAACAATCTCTAGGCTGCCTTCGCTATCTGAGTTTTGTAGTACACCCGCGCTGTCTTCGCTGCTTCTATTCAGCTCGGGTGCTGTAGCCTGTCCCTTTTTTAAGCTCTGCGACCTGCAAAACATGATTTCAGTAGGAGTACAGTGCAATAATGCAGCACTGGAAGTCATACGTATCCGGATCATCACTACCCCTGAAGAAAGCATTAGTACCAGAACCCTAATTCTGGGTTGAGTACATACCCAACTGTGAGTTTTGTGATCCCCTTCGCTTTCAGTTCAGATTGAGCGATGAAGTGGCGAATTGTCAAATCCAGTGAGGGATCGTACTGTGGCTTTTGAACATTCTGCCACACCGCATAAATCAGCTCCTCAGCTGCATCTGGAATCACCTCACCCGATATGGAGGTGAGATATTCATTTTCATCGTCATCTGTAAATTCCGAGTGCAATCGTTCCGGAAGAGATCCTAGACTGCTTGGAAGCGAATTTGAATCCCTTCTTGATCCGGACCATGCTGATTGCGACCGCCCGCCATCTACATGTCCTGCAAGAGAGATTTGTGCCAGCGAAATCAGGTGGTTTGCGACATGATCTATCATATCCTTCGGCTTTAGCTCTAGTTTCTGCACTGTAGGACAGAAAGGACATTCTCGTATGATGATATCGTCGGGTGATTTTTGATAGCATGCGGCCGCGATGTCGTCGATGTCGTCGTCATCGAATTGGCCTTCATGATGTTGATGCAAATGTTCCCTGAAGCCAGATTCTGACTGGAAGAAGAATGTCGTATTGTGTGTGCTATCGACACAGGTCCAACCACTGGCAGGGTGCTGATTCTTCATGTGACTCAGCCAATCCTTGCCCGACTCAAAAAGGGAGTTTGGGGTGGGACAAGACTCCAGGACACAAACATACGGCATGAGGTCTTGAATAAAGTGGCGCCTTTCTCAACGATTAGTTATAAATCTTGCTCTGTGTGCTAGGAGAGCACTCACTTCCAACTTCTTCCGCTCAGCTCTTCTGTAGAACAAGCCAGGAAGCAGTATGGACACTCCGACTCCTTGTGGTTGCCAGACACCTTTGGTGGTGGAGGGATATCCGCACCGCTACTTTCCACATCATAGGATGTCCTTTCATTGGCCGACTTTTCAGAGTAAGCTTTTGGAATCCGATCGGGTTGAGCTGTTGTCGCTGTCATAATAGACGGGCCTACCCTTCGCATACGTGATGAATTTTGTGTCACAGCTCCTTGTGCCTTCGACGTGAGGGAACCTGTAATGCTGGCGCTGGCCCTGAGCGCTGGCCTTGGAGTGGATTGATGGCTCCGGTCAGTCCCTGCAATTGGAGCGTTTGTAGCCTTCTTGGCTTTCAGGTAGGAAAAGTATTGCTGGCGCAAACAGACGGTATTGAAAATGCGTTCCCGCAGGCCATCACTCGCTTTGGAACCCTTCATGCGGAACTCTAAGAGCCTTTTTGCACCGTCCTTGAATGCTTCTGTCAGATTTACTCCATTCTCGTCAAACTCAACATAGTTCCCAACTCTGACGTATCTGCGATGAATCCCCGAGCGACGGATGGCGCGAGACAAGCGGAAAAGGCCATCCAGCGTCTCACTGATAGCTTGAAGGGGAGCTTCATATAGCAGTTCAGTAGGTATGGTGGAATTTGATGGAAGAGTAGGCTGCTCTGGGTTATGTTGATATTGAAAAACATCGAATCAGGAAGAAGCTCCAGGCATATGACATACTGATAAGGTCAACTTTTAAATCATCCAGCAACTCGACCATCGTCGATTGCAGCAATGGGGCGTTCCGCAATCTCCAGTCCATCGAGGCTCGGCCTGGGGCCAGTATGAAATTATTTGCCGCCCACAAGTTGAACCGGAATATTTCGTTTTCTATGTCCGGCTCGGTCCCATCCAGTGCGCTCGCAAGTCTGTCAAATAATTGGGCACATTCAGCAGCTCTGGATGCAACAGCCATTTTGACTGAGTGATTCAATGTTCTGATAACAATGAGGCCGTTTGGTATATTGGGCCGGATTTTGAGAGGAATAACATCAAACTATGCAGATGATATGAGAGTCGGGGAGCACCTTCCAATTGGGCGTCTACTTACATCAAAGCGCTAAACCCGAAAGGGCAACAAGAATCCTTCCAGATGAGGGGTTAAACAGGGCAGTATTTGCAGTTTAGTTCAATAGCAGCCACCAGGCAAGCTGACAAATCCTAAGTAGGAAGTGAAGCATCAGCCGCACATGAGGATAGTTCACTGACAACAATACACAACACTAATTCTTCGGCGACATTCTCCAAGGCATACCTCCCACGATGGCTCATCGTTCAGCAGACATCGACCTGGTGTATTTAGTTTCAGATGTCATTACAGCGCTAGGGGGGGCCTTCAAGCACTCCCCTCGATTATACCGCGAGCTGAAGGTATCGCTGGCTATAATGGCTCTGGAGATACACAATACAGATATTCGCATGGCCCTCTTCGAACGACCAAAATTACAGAGGGCATTTGAGAACCTGGCGAAAGCGTTAGACGGGGGTTTCCGCAAGGACTTCGTAAACGCAAAGTATCAGCAATTAAAGGCTGGAGAAGAAAGGCAACCTCTTAGGCTCTCCAAGTGGTGGCCTTGGTTGTTCACCAGTTGGGCCGACAGCTCTAAAGTGTCTATGCAAAATTGGACACAAACACCTTACTCATATCTTGGAATGGTCTGTGAGCTTCTTCAAAGCTCTCTACAACGAGAGCTACGGATCGGAGAGCTCCTAGCTGATGATTATCGAGTAATTCGAGATCTGACTAGGTTGGTTAATGAGCTGGTAGAACAACTCGATCATGGTCAATTTCTTGATGATGACGAAGACTTCACTGAAAAGGCACAGTCCAACCCGTCGATCAGCGAGGCGGCCATTCGTGGTAAGACCAGCATCCGCTATCTGTCGCAGAATTTGTACCACACACTGCACGAGAACTGGCCTTGTCAATTGGAAGGGCATGAGCATGGCGGAAAGCTAGGCCATTGTGTGGAAGCAAAGTTCTGCCTCGACCCCCAGTGGAGTTCGCGAGATCCAGATCCATCGCGCGATAGTTTTTTTATCCTGTTGGCGGGTTCAGATATCATTCAGGAGTGCCGGATTCGCTGGCTTCCTACCAAGTTAATTAGCCCCTGCCTTCTCAGCACAGCCAGTAGCTAACACAGATCCAGTGCTATAAATAACACGAAAACCCCTGCATGCCTTGTGGATCACGAAGCCTCAAAAGACGTCTGTTTACAGCTGACAAAGGATGGCAACAACCGACTATGGGGTCTGGAATTAGGGCAGCCACTTGAGGTCCTACAGCTCGAGGAAGAGTGTGCTGGAAGATCTCTTGAAAGCCTTCGAAAGTTGCTGGAGGTTGTGAAACCCACATACGCAGCAAAGCGAGTTCTGGGACTGATATTAGCGCGATCACTTCTGCACCTTCTGGAAGGACCATGGGTCAATTCGTATCTGTCTATCGACGATATCTTCGTCTTCTGCAAAGTGCAGAATGGTTATCCATGCCCAATATTTGACAGAGTATTTCTCTCGACGGCGTTCAAGGCAATTGGTAACGATAGCGGTCCCCAAGCTAGCCGACGGCCTCCTTATAGTATTCACCCCTTTCCGACAATCCTTGCCCTGGGGATCGCGCTGGCAGAAATGGAGCTAGGAGACGAGCTTTCTGACATCTACAGTCAGCCATCTTTTGCGGGACTGAGAAACAAGCCATCTAGGCTTGCAAAGAAGCTGTGGGGGGAGTGTGAGCGTCGGTTCCATTTGGGGACTGGACTAATGCGGGCCGTTAGGTTTTGTACGGATCAAACTTCGTTCCTTCGCTTCGCCGACATGGGAAAGGAAACTGTTTTTGCAGATTCAGAATTCGTGGATGCCTATTACAGGAAGGCTATCAGGCCGCTGGAAGAAGACCTTGTAAATGGGGCCAAGTGGACGTGGGATGAAGTAAACTGGCTCAAACGCCGCGACCTTGGCGATCAGGGAGTTTGCAAAATCATCAAGTTGAAAATCGACCCTTCTTTCAATGTCAACAGTGATCGAATGCGAAATACAGAACCAAAGTGGAATAAATCACCAGGACATGTGTCAGGCTTACTCGCAATACCAGAGGTCAATAGTACCATGGAAGATTCACATAAGAAACCTTCTAGCGACTTAACCCTGCTTATCAAGGACAATGCACGTCATTGTCAACCATCCAGCCCCCCAGAGTCCGTGAAACCAAAGACTAGAGATGGCTTCGACATAGTCATCATTTGTGCACTCCCTACAGAAGCCGATGCAGTTTTGTCTGCTTTCGACCATCACTGGGACAAAGACTTGTACGGCAAGGCAACGAATGATCCAAACTTTTACTCTGTGGGCGTTATGCGTGGTCGAAATGTTGTGTTGGTTCATCCTCCACGCTCTGGCAAAGCACCTGCCGCCAATGTCGCTACCGCCTGTGCCATGAGTTTTACCAAAGTGACGCTGGCTCTCATTGTTGGGGTGTGCGGAGGCGTTCCATATAAACGCAACAAGGAGGAAATCCTACTTGGTGATGTTGTGATTAGCAAAGGAGTCATACAATACGATCATGGACGACAGTACTCGGATGGATTTAAACGGAAGATTGAAATGGAAGCAGTATTAGGTAGACCGAACCCACAAATTGGCTCGGTGTTGGCGGCACTAGAAACTCAGTTTCACCGAGAGAACGCCCAGCATAAGATTACCGCCTTCCTCGACGGCTTGGACGAAGATGTGACATCCTACCCTGGAGATATGGAAGACAGGTTATTCCCATCCTGGTATCGTCATAAACACCACAGTCGCCAGGTGTGTCGAGTGTGTGCAGATTGCTGCAACAGCAACGACTCCGTCTGCGACGTTGCCCCAGAACTCAACTGTCAAGTGACTGGTTGCGAGGAGATACACATCGTAAAACGACGTCGGCAAAATCAAAGGAACCAACCGTTTGTTCATGTCGGTCTCATGGCCTCTGGAGATAGCGTTCTCAAGTCCGCTATACATCGGGACCAGATTGCGGAGAACGAGAATGTCATAGCATTCGAGATGGAAGGAGCAGGTGCTTGGGATGCCCTACCCTGTGTTGTCATTAAGGGAGTCTGTGACTACGCTGATAGCCACAAGAACAAATTGTGGCAGAAATATGCAGCATTCACTGCAGCTGCTTGCGCTAGAGAATTCATCCAATACTGGTAGTGCCGCCAGAATCGACTGGCAGGTCAATCTGCGCAAGTTTCCTGGGCTCGCTCCCACCTGTACCACAGGTACCAGTTCACTCGGGACCACCCAAATGGCACCGATCGCAAAATAGAAGCCACTCGTAAAAGCGCACAAGTACTTGGCGCTCAGATTGTGCGAATTGCTGAGGGGAAAGAAGCCATAGAACTTAGCCGAAGCAAGCCACTGCCACAGCTGCAGGACATGTGAGCCTTTCACTCCGACTTCGCCTGAGAACGTCCAGTTCCTGACTATTTGCTGTGAGCAAAATGGAGGAAGCCAGGGTTTTTGGCTACTATATAGTATATTCAAGATGTTCTACACAACTTGGTACCCATCCCAAGACTAGGGTACTCTAGTACTCAGCCCTCAAAGCGTATCACGAAACTCCTCCACCCGCGAGATATCCTCCACAAAAGTAGCGCCATACTCTCTCATGATCAGGATCCTCTCCTCCATATTCATCGCGAAACTGATTCTCATAAAATCCCTTGGCATTTCATTGGCATTCGCAAACCTCAATACCCATACGCCTACACCATCCGCCGGCCACCCAAACACCAGCACTTTCTTCTCTTCCTCCGTCATCTCTCTCACCCCTAGAACCGCCTCAAGCTCATCCTCCCTACTCGACCACCACGTCGCCCCAGTCCGGCGCAAGAGCTTACAGAACCTGTCCTCCTCATCGACACAGGATGCGCGCTGCACGGCCTGAAAGCGCGGGAGCGAGAGGAAAAGCAGGTCAACCAGGTCAGCGTTTTTAATGAGGACGCCACCGGTGGAGGGGTACCCATAGACACGGCATCCTCCGGGGCTGAAGACCGTCCGTTCCGTTGTCGGGAGAGGGGGGTTCACGGGGCACGAGCAGGCGGAGTCGTCCTGCTCCCCCACGCCGTCGAGTGCTGGGAGTCGTCGGCCCACGATCGGGAGGCGGTCCACGTTGATGGGGAGGACGCGGCCGATGGTTTGGGCGCAGAGGAAGGAGAGGATGCTGGACATGTTATGTTGCTCGACTGAATCTGGGTTTGATGAATCTGGTTTTGATAAGGCCAGCGGGTGAAGATCCTCTTCTAGATATAACACAGATAGACCAGATAATATAATCTATACACCTCTTTCTGACATTCAATACACAGCTGTTGTGTCCTGTTTATCTTCCTAATGTAGATAGGCCTCGGGGAGAGAAACAGATCTGCCTGAGTCAGGTGCCCCACCGCCGAGAGAGTCAGTCAGTCCACAATCTCCGAGTCAGAATGGTGCCTGAGGCATTAACACCATTTTATATAGAATTTCAGGTATGATTGGGGATTCTGATATTCAGAGATATTATTTCTTTGAACGTCTCTACTACAGATCAGATCCTTTGCAAATCTTACATTTATCTCTTATTATGGAGCCTCGAGTATCATCTGATCCACACCGAGGCGAGAAGGGAGGGAAAGGCAGGCGTTTCTGGGTATCTACTTCCTAACATCATATTCGACATAGAGTATATACTAACACATTTGGGAACTACTTATAGACCATCTTCATCGCATTATCCATTACGTCCATTCTCTCCGCCCTCGACACCTCGGTCATTTCCACCGCCATGCCTACCATCGTGCACGACCTCGACTCCAGCTCCGCTTATGTATGGATCGCGAACGCGTACTTACTCACTAGCACTGCTTTTCAGCCGCTCTACGGCCAGTCGGCGAATATATTCGGCCGACGCAGTCTGATTATTCTCTCTGTTGTTCTCTTCGCCATCGGATCTGCTGTCTCTGGCTCTGCCAGGTCTACGAATGTCCTGATCGTCGGACGTACGATCCAGGGCGTAGGAGGCGGAGGTATCAACGTGCTCGTTGATATCATCGTATCAGATCTCGTTCCTCTGCGTGAGCGGCCAAAGTATATGGGGGTCATATTCAGCGTGTTTGCGGTGGCGTTGAGTCTTGGTCCTGTGATCGGTGGGATCATGACGCAGCGGGTGACCTGGCGGTGGATATTTTATATGAATTTGCCAATCTCGGGAGCTGCGCTGGTGCTTCTGATGTTGTTCCTGAGGACAGAGTATGAAAAGGATTCAATACGGGATATGTTGAAGCGGGTGGATTTTGCTGGGAATGCACTTCTCGTTGCCTCGGTGCTTGCGGTCCTATTGGCTTTGACGTGGGGTGGAACGGAGCATCCCTGGTCGTCGTGGAGGACAATCCTGCCGCTTGTATTGGGGGTTCTGGGTCTGGTTGGGTTTATGCTGTTTCAGGCATCAGGGAAGGGCGTGGAAGAACCGACGATGCCGATTCGGTTGTTTGCGAATCGGACGTCGTTGGCAACATTTGGGCTGACGTTTTTGCATGCCATCCTCACGTACTGGATGACATACTTTCTACCGGTATTATTTCAGGCGGTTTTGGAGGCGTCACCTACGGCGTCTGGGGTGGATTTCATTCCTAGTGCTGTTGCGGCGATCCCGTTTGCGATTCTTGCCGGGGCGGGGCTGTCTATATTGGGCCGGTATCGCCCGTTTCAGTTTATTGGGGTCGTCTTGCTGACCGTTTCTTTTGGATTGTTAACACGGTTAAGCGCGATGACTTCGACAGGGTATTGGGTTGGGGTGCAGATTCTCGCGGCAGCTGGGAGCGGAGTGCTTCTTACAACCACGTTGCCGGCCATTCAAGCCCCATTGCCTGAGGCGGATGTAGCTGTTGCAACAGCTACCTGGGCCTTTTTGCGCAGTTTTGGGGGAGTTTGGGGTGTGGCGATACCGTCGGCGGTATTCAATTCAAGAGTGAATGCTTTGGTGGATCGCGTGGAGAGTTCTGTACTGCGGGAGGAGTTGAGCAATGGTGGGGCATATGCACTGGCGTCGAAGACATTCATGCAGTCTTTGGATTCAACGCCTGGTGTTAAGGCGCAGGTCTTGGGGGTTTATGTTGACAGTTTGAGGTTGGTGTGGCAGGTAGGAATTGCGTTCGGGTTATTGGCGTTTGTGGTAGCTTTCGTTGTCAAGGAGGTGCCCATGCGGGAACAGCTTGAGACAAAGTTTGGCCTGACTGGTAGGGAGGATGACGGCTGCAGCAGTGGGGCACCTATTGAGAGCGCAGAGAAAGATGTATGAGTGAGGGATGGAAGGAATGTCTGGTGTTCGGCGAGGAGCAGATCCTATGGCTTTAGTTCATGCCGCGAATTGAAAGTTTGATCCACTTCCAGGTATTCTAAACCTACTCTATAAAGTAAGTTTGGCCTGAAAGCCTGTCTATAGCGTAAGATAGTCTCACATTAGCTAGCTAGGCTGGCCCTCGCTGAGTTGATCGTGACTCTCAGCCGTGACAGTCGATCTCAGAAGCCAAGTTGCATCGATGTCATCATAGCCCATTAGCTCAACGGAGTCATGCCAATAGCTACTCGGCTCGCCACCGAAGTCGCCTTCGGTCGGGTCCATCAGGTTCAATGGCTGAACTTGATGGCACAAGTTCGCATCTTCCGACCCACATAAACCTTGAGACGATGGCTTATCCTGCGATGAAGGGAGCTTGGGGATTCCAAGATCTTTCTCTAGGAGTAAGCACGGCTGGTTAAAAGGCGATAGACTTGCCAATTCGGAAATCCTCTCAGTACAATGTTGTGGTCTACTAATTGTGTCCTTGACAAACTCAGGAACGAAACCTCGGAGATCAGGATGTGCGATGAGAAAGTCCGATCCGACAGCGAAAGGACACGAGACAGAAGTCGGAGCAAAATGTTGTCGAAATTGCGGACTAACGGCTAGTCTGCGGTCAAGGCTGATTTCGTATGCGTCTTCGAATTTCAGCGCCGGGGAAAAGTACATGTCGCGAAGCGCATCCATCGCAAATGTCTCGCATGCTTCGTTATGGGTAACTATGGCATTTTCTGATTGGGTAGAGAGCAAGTGGGAGCGTAGTTGTGGCCTGGGTTTGTGTTAGGCGAGTTCTATCGAGGGAATAACTTTAATCACCATGGTAGCATGTCTATGGAGATATTATGAGGAAGGCTCATCTGGATTGGTCTTCAAGGAGTCAGTAAAGGCCAAGGACGGACTCTGATCTCGCTCACGTTGGTCGTAGCCAGCCTGGAATCTGTGACGCATATAAATGGCACCCGCTATGTTGCGTGAGCAAAGACTATACCCGAGTTAATAAAGCGTATTCTAACGTGTGATGACCACCTACCAAGAACGCCCTTTGAACAAGGTACAGCAAGGCCAGCTGGTCTATCGGCCTTGCCAATGGTCGCAAGAGCATGAACCGGCGATGCAAGTGAGCCAAGAGGCGCTGTATCGGTTCCTCATTCTCGCTAACAGGATCATCCCAGCCATTTAATACTCCATGTACTATGATGTGCGTGTCACAGAGCGGTGAAAATGGCGTGGAGTCGACCGTCTTCAGGTCTTCGTAGTCGAGGAAGATTCGACTAATTAGACCAGGATCCGGTTCAGTGTGTCCTTCTTCTGTACCAGCCTGGGCGGCTTCATCGTCATTGGAATTCAATTTTAGTTTCATCGCTTCAGCGATAGTAACTAAATGATCGGCCAGTGTGCGCAACTCGTCGCGCTCTTTGCGCATCTGTCTGAGCTCATCCGAAAGTGCCTTGTCTGCGCCGCCTTGCAGCTGCGAGACTTGGAGCTCCAGCAGGGCCAGTCGGTCTCTGGTGCGTTGGCGAGCAGCGCGTTGTGCATTTCGATCTTGGACTCTCTTCTTTTCGCGTTTCGAGGTAGCCTGCGACATTGTGTTGATGCAGTTTGATGGAAAGAATGAGAAGCAGCCACGACTGTTTTGCTGTCGCTTGTTTTGGCGGGACACGTGCTGACTGCTTAGTGAGCCGCTAGGAAGTGAATCCTTCCACTTAGTGTAGCTGTTTGAACAGGGTGTGATATTCATTTGTTAAAGACTTTCTATGCATACATGGTTATAACGCTCTCTCATGTCCCCCTCTCTTATCCGTCCACTGAAGAAATGAATGGGGTACCTCAAAGAGATCTGGGATAAGATCTGGAACTATAGCATCATCGATAGTGGCTCGCACGGTACACTCTCCGCCCAAGATGTGCTCAATATTCCCCAGGGTACTGTACATGACCCCAGAAGACTGAGACATCGGGCTATTGACGACTTGTTGGTCGTTATCCGAGGAATATTCCTTTCTGCCACCTTTCCATCTCCCAACTAGCGACGGGTAAGACGAGTAGCACTCCAATGAGCCATTGTGACAGAGTTCACTAAGGAGGTCTGGAAAATCCATATTGTCATCGTCTGTGAGCCGTGTCAAAGCAGCGAGGATCTTTTGGGACGCCCTGTATGTAATAGCGTACGCCGCACTACATGCCGCCTTTTCTATCATGCATGCCATCCGGACATTCTTCCCGGTTCCAGCTGGGGGATCATACGAATAAGGCGGGAGGTAGCGAGATGGCATCGCCGTTATGTCGTGAGGCATCACCTGAATAGGGGAAGAGCCGTTGCATTTCATACCACAGTGACCGATCCAGAGAACGTCCCAGCTGTCTCCGTACGGAGAATCTGTGGTCGCATTCCTTTCTGGGGCGTTGATCTTTGGTATTTGCTGAGAGCCTAGGGCAAGTCCTTTTAATTGCATTTTGAAATTAATATCCCAGTCAACATCGTCCTCAAGTATCAGTGCACTTGCGATCCCATCTGCGACGATTCTATATAGATTTCATTAGATGATGTGAACGAACAAAATGTAAGACAGGTCGCTACCTCTGTACAGCATTCGCATGTGGGCGGAAAGCAGTAAAGGCTTCAATGCTCTTTGATCCGTTCAAATCCTACCACAAAGAGTAAGCAGTCAACCATCGTGAGTCCCAGTCAGCTCGACGAACCTTAACGCTGTCTTCCTCGAGGACAAATCCGTCGAAGAAGTCGACGTGAAATCCTGTAGCTGAGGATGCAAGTACAATCGCATCGCGTCTGTCTAAGCGTTGTACCGGGCTAATCGCAAATATTTTCTCAAACTATAATGGGTCAATATTTCGGGTGAAAGGTCAGCGAGGTGATGGAGTAGCATACACCTAGTGTGTTGTTTGCGATCGCGTCGAAGGGGTCCCGGATCGCGTCGGGCTTAACATTTCGGCCGTGTCCAATGTTCCCATGAAAGAACAAAGACCAGAGTAAAGCTAGGATGACGAGAAATAAGATGGCCAGATTTGAAGATCGACGGCGTGTTCCAGGAACCAACCTGACCGGAGACCCGGGAGTGATCATAGCAGCCATGTTCATTAATGGGATGATCAGGAATGCGAGCGCAGACCCCGCCTTTTTTAAGACCCCAATGATTACCTTTCAGATCTCCACTCTTTCTTTGATTGCTGCGATGCATTGTGACCAAACAGCGCGACAGGTAGGTCAGCGTCCAGTCAAATGCTTTGTTTAGACGCCGTAGTTGCGGGACTTAACCTGAACTAGCAAGCAGCTTAGGGACAGGCCACTTTACCCGCATTAGAGCATGGTCAGAACACCAATCAGCACTTTCACTAAGCCGTAATCATACACAGGTACGAGATCATGTCCATTCCATGTGTGGTGTCTGAAGAATATGGCTTCGAGTTTAAGAGTCCTGACAATCTATTATGGATACATTCAGTCGCAATTCATGTGCTGATCGGTCTCTCAATAAGGAGGCACGAGAGCTTGTAGCTTGATTGAGCTTTGAGCAGTCGCAACAATCGGGCTTGTCCTCACTGTCTTGGTCTATCTTTCACAAGCCATTAGTTATGCCTTGGATCTCCTAACTGACGGGTCCAGAGCAGCTACCGAATAGTGCGCTGGGCATATAGCCATTAAGAGAAGCGTAGCATTACTCAGACTTTCTCAGGCGTTATGATTGATGATGTTGACAGGGTTGAAGCAGATGCATACGGCGGCGGGCTTTCTGCCTCCGAAACGCACCCTTCGAAGCTTTGAGTAGCTTTTTCTGGCTCTCGAGAGTTTGCCAATAGCTCCACAGGAAGATCAGGAATATCAAAGGTACTTGTTTTCCCCGCACATTCAAATGAAAATGACGCGCACAACCGATACGTCCTGCTTATGTTGAATGTGCGGAAAGATACATCCGTCTGCCTGATTCTAAGAGGTCCAAAGGCCTGTGCTAAGTCCACTTTACCCATAATTGGCATACCGAGCGACGTCCGTGATAGTATCTCAATCCGCTCGTCAACTTGGCCCGATAATGCTCCCATTAGGGACGGAGCGGCCCGAGCGGCAGTTTGACTGACCATGGAGATGGACAAAGATTGCATCACAATATCGGGAGGTGATGTAACAGAGGAGTCCTCCATAAACGGCGTTATATCTAAGAAGCATGGAATTGGTGTGGATTGTACCAGGCGTGTGGGATAGGAAAAAGACGCTTTGAAGCTGAACCGAGGCAGCTGACCAGGTGAAAGCCATGACTGGATCTTCTCCTGCACCTTTAAGCTTCTTCCCTTGTTTTCTGGGAGTAGAAGCATGCTTCGAATGTTGAAAAGCTGCTCCTTCTGTTGCTGATATGTCGTGGGGTAGTCATCTGTGCTCTTCAATTCCAATCTAGCTTCAAGCGGCAGAAAGTTCAATCGTATGACCTCAGAGAACAATGGTGACTTTCTCCCTAAAATCCCTCGCTGTGGTCTAAACACTTGGGCGTCGATTCGGTATTCGATGGTGCACTCCAGCTTCCGTAAAGAATCATGAGTTTGCGTTGCAAAGGTTGGTGGCAAGGGATGATTTGCGTCGCTGCGGAAAGGCAATGTTTCTGGCCATCTTGAAGACGCGGATTGGACATGTGATGGAAAGACAAACTCAAATGGCCATTCATAGGTATCAGGGGCAACTGTATCGCCATTTGGGTGCCATAGGATCCTCTCTTTTTCGAAAAGCATACACTTGCTTCGATAGCTAGCGGCAGGGGCTGCGGATCCCTTGGTCTTCTGCACCTTCGCCTTTGCGCGCCCGGAGAATGTCACGCGAATGTCCTGAATCTCCGTTGGGGTGGAACATTGAAAGACAATGCGACCTCTGATTCGGTCATTTCCAGCGTAGCATTGCTGCTGGTTGTTCAACGACACGGTGATAGGCATTGTGAGGAATAGCACACAACCCAGACTTGGGTGGCTTTAGTGACAAAGGAGTTACTGGGAAGTGATCGCAAAAAAGAGAAGTGCAGGAGGAGCGGGATGGTACACCTTTGTACCATTGTGTAGTGGCTTGTCCCACATTTTTTTTAATCTGAAAGCATTACCCAGGATATTAATAGGATTTGAGTGTCAAAGCTTTTAAGACCCATTGATAGTCGATGATGTCTGTGACAGTGGGGGGACGCCGGCAGCAATTCGCAAAAGAGGCGCGCGCGTTTAAACGAATACGCGGAGACTTCCTGATGCGGAAGGGGTGGCGTCCCACTTGCTCTCCACTCAACCATCCCAAATCAGTACAATATCCTTGGTTCCGCCACTACCCATGTCTGCTTAAATTGAGATATCTGGAGCTCTACCTGTTATGTACTAGATGAACAGATACTGACCTTCTTCATGCGATCTAAAACTGTGGCATCCCATGGTCATCAATTTAGGTAGCTTACCCACTGCTAGCAAGCAAGATAACACGCTTTCAAGCAATTCTCCAAACAACACAATCCCTACCTTGCCTCTACCTGCGCAAACGCACGGGAAGTACCTCTACAAACATTGATCCAAGATATCAGTATTTCTTTATGAAACAAATTTCCTCTACCGCCTCCTGCAGCCCCTTGGTCATTTGTGTTTCGATCGAACAGATAGTTACTAGCTGGCGATCCTGGTGTTCAGATATCAGGATCATGCAGATAATACTGCTCTTACGCCTTTTAAAGGCCTCAGTCTTTACAAAGGAGCAGGTAAGCAGACAAGTGCGGCAGCTAGAGGTCTAGATTAGAAACATGTCAGCTATGCTTGATTATACAAAACAGGTGGAGTAGTATATTACCGCTATTTTAGTAGAGAGGCACTGGAATCGAGGATGTTGCGGTGGGGGGCCTGGGGGAGAGGTTGGTAAGCGCTTTATCCACTTGGTTCTCAAAGATGAATGGATGTCTTGTACTAATTCTACTACTACTTAGTACAGGGTCAACCTAACATGATACTCGATTGGTTAGTTCCATTTCTGGACAGGAACCCCCAGATCCAGTCTGTATAGCATGATGCATAACATATCTGCGAATCAAAGGAAAGCGATCGTGGGTTGCTTACTAGACGCGAGGATCATTCCGCGGCGCGTGATTTGCTATCTAAACCACAATGATCCTTTCAGTTTCCTGGCAAAAGAAAAGGCACAAAGTAAGATTTGCGCACAGGCCAGGGTTCTTGCTGCTTGTGTGTGGAGTACTCCACAGGAAGATCCGGTAGTACGCATGCAAGTTATACCTCCTAGTACCAACACACCACAACCAGTATTCGTCACATCGCAGATTCTACAGAATCCTGAGGTTTCCTTTCACAAGAGATATGAATCATATAACAAAGTGTTGTGGGATCATTGTTTATGTGAATCCCCGGTATCTTGCGAGACTAAGACCTCTTTATTCATTTATTCATCACATAATTAAATAGTCTATGTTGGACCTCCGCCTACATATATGGTTCAGGCATCCTTCCCATCTCCCCTTACCGCTGGATGCCTAGATTCTCAGTCAAAAATCATCGAGAGGGAGTAACGTGATCTACTAGTTCTGTTAGCCTATCCCCTTCGAGTGGCTTACAGCCACAGGAACATCAAACAGCCTTGTCAACTACATAAGTACTGACCACAAATATATCTACAGATAACTTTTGACAAAATTCCCCAAAAAACGCTGCATTTGTGGAGCCATCGACTGCCTCCAACCTCATCAACAATAAAAACCTTCATTTCACCACCGTGATCGCTGTTGCTTTTCTATTCTTGATGTGTTCCTGACTGCCCCGCCTTATTTCCACCACCGAGCCTTGCACGGAAAACTGACCCGTTGCATTTCCTCACTTTGCGCCATTACGTCCCCCCTTCTGTCACACTTCTTTCTCGGCTTCCCAGTTATATTTGACGAATAGACTTGTTCTATCCTCAGCAATCAGCATGCCTTGGAAAGCCTTCCGCAAGGACCTTTCCGATGCGTGCCTCCGAGCGAGGTTTCCCCATCTGAGCCACCTCAGGCTCGGTGACGAAGACAGTACCATTGCCTTTACCTACAGCTTCCAGTCCTGCATGCACATTGAATTCATTGTCTCCATTCTCGGTATGTGAGCGCCTTAATGATCTGGTCTTAGTCTTTCTTACTAATGACGTGATAGATGCCACTGAATACCCCGATGATCACAGTTATTTTGCGTTCGCTGTCACGGACAATATCCCCCCCGCCGTGTCCTCCCTTCTGGAGACAGTACAAACCAAGTTCAATGGTTGTTCCTTGGAAATATTTCTAGAAGGCTTTTGTGATTATCTTGACCAGGCTGCCCTTGGGAAAGAACCGCGTGCGAGTTCCCCAGTAGATGACGACTTCGACGCCATCTCAGATGATGAAGATATGGCCTGGGATGAGTACTCTGATGCCCCACGGATGGACCATTCCGTGGATATGAAGCAACTGCGGACTGATCTTCGAGCAGCTAAAAGCGCAGGCTTCAAAGTCGGCTATCTTGGTGACCTGGAGGGCTCTTTCATTGTGTCTGTTTCCTGCCGCATTGCTAGCCTAGGCATTTCACAAGACGCTATGCAAATGTGGAATGTCTGCCCCAAGCATTTTATAGTGCTGCTTCTCTATTATCCATGGGGTTACCGGAGCCTAGACCACATTGTATCCCAGTCACAGACAGCTCCTTCGCCAGTCAAGATGTTTGTCGGTCTTTGCGATAGGTACAAGCCCACGACAATGTCTATCCCAGAGACCCACCAGGAGATCTCGAGCCCCGGTGTATCAAGCTCGATGCCCAAGTCGGCTTTAATATCTTCGTTCATTACTGACCCGTTAGAGACCCTTCTCAATGATCGGTTCGTTAGTATTGTACAAGATCGACTCAGACACGGGTTCTCATGGACAGGCGCAGAATTATTCTACAATGACGCTCAGGGTAAGAAGCTAGATCCCGAGGATGCCAAGCTTCCCAAATACTTTGTTCCGGAGAAATGGGCTAGGTTCACACCCGGTTTCGTCAAAGCAGATGATCTGCCACAGCACACGGCACATCAGCTATCTCTTCCTCTCATTGCCATGCAATATAGCCTGCGCCGTTTTGTCAAGTGCACGGAATTCTGTCTGAACTGCCATTGCAAAATAGACACCGGTTTTGAGGCCCTGAAGCCATATGTTTGTTCCAGTCCGTTATGTCTATATCAATATATGCAGCTCGGGATGGGTCCCAAGCTGGAATGGGAGATAGTCACACAGCCGTATGTCGTCGACATGCTCGTGAGCTTTGCTTATGCTCGGGCTGCGCAGGGGCAACTGACTGATCTTCCGTCTGGACTTGGCATGAAGGTTGCTTGTGGCGCCTCTACTGGATCGAGTCCGCCATCATGCACTGCGAGACTGGATCCTGCCAATATGACATTGATGGCCCGAGGGCCTCATAATCTAAAAGTTGGTGAATGGATTCTATTGAAGCCAGGCAATGTGTCTGATTCTTCATCGTACTTTCCATCGCTCTGCAGTACTGTGCTCCAAGTGCATGACCAGTCGCTTATCGAGATTTCGCAGCCTATCTCGGTAGGTTATCTGGCCGGCCAACAAGACTCGCCTCCAGTCGGGCAAGACGTGCAAATTGTGCCATTTCATCTTGAATTTGATAGCTTGAGTAATGAGCTGAAACAGAAAGCAGTCATGCTACTCCTCGACACACTACCTGATGTCTTCTCCATGAAAAAGTTCATCGAGAGCAGTACGCCTGAACACAGACCCCTCGCCTTATGGCATGATCAAATTTGCCCATCAGCTCTATATGTACTACGGTGGATTCTTGCTTCAAATAGATCATGCATCGTATACGATGATGACCCTGAACACCAGGTGACAGGGATGCACAACTACATGCAGTTCAGGCTAGCGCAAGGCTCTCCAGACAAAGAAGCTCGGTTTGTCCAGGAACTCAACAACAGCTCAAGCAAGGAGTTCCCCACGCTTTTCGCTTGGCACGGAAGTCCACTTTATAATTGGCACAGCATATTGAGAGAAGGTCTAAACTTTGATCGACTGTTGAATGGCCGTGCTTATGGAGATGGTGTTTATATGGCGAGCGATCTTCACACTTCTCTCGCATACTGCTGTCGTGGTGGTATTTCTGGAGGCAAGTGGTCAAGAAGCCAGTTAGACATCACTTCTGCTATCTCGCTAAATGAAGTTGTCAATTCACCGGGAAAGTTTCGGAATAAAAACCCATATGTGGTTCCTCAACTAGACTGGATTCAGTCGCGGTACCTGTTTATCTCAGGCGATGGTTTCAAAGCTCGGGGAGAAAACAAGAGCAAACCCTCCAGGGTTTACGAACAGGACCCGGCTTGGACGGCGCGCGGCCCAGATTTTCAGCCTGTTTCCATTCCTATATCGGCCCTTGGCACTCGACAGGGCCAGAGCCACAAGAACAAAAATGAAGCCGATGGACAAGCCACAGATAATAGACAAAAAAAAAGGAAATCATCTGCAAAAGGGCTATCTGGTCTGTCTGAGAGCTCATCGACAACTGATTCCAACGATGATACGGAGGTTGAGGATCTTCGCTTACTTGATTCGGATTCGGATGACGATGTCATCGGAAAATCAAGACGCATTGATGCATCAAAGTCCAATCACAATCTGAGACGCGGGTCCAAAACCGACTTCCAGCCCGGAACTTTGCAAGCTCATTCCTTCAAGCTCCTCGGACCGCCAAGCTACGCGACCACAGCCGCAACCAAGTCACTACAGCGTCATCTCAAGACAACATTGCGCATTCAGGACCGAGAGCCCCTACATGAGATCGGCTGGTATGTGGACCCCACACTTATCAACAACGTCTATCAATGGATCGTCGAGTTCCACAGCTTCGATCCCTCTCTTCCTTTGGCACAGGATCTCAAGCAAAAAGGTCTCAAGAGCGTCGTTATGGAAATACGCTTTCCGCCTCAGTTTCCAATGTCTCCGCCTTTTGTCCGTGTCGTTCGACCCCGATTTATCTCTTTCCAACAACGCGGTGGTGGCCATGTGACCGCTGGTGGCGCCATGTGCATGGAGCTGCTCACCAGCTCAGGCTGGCTTCCTACGAGCTCCATAGACAGTGTATTTCTGCAGGTGCGTATGGCCCTTTGTTCAACAGAGCCATGGCCTGCACGCGTTGAACGAGATGGCGAATATCCGTTTAGTGAAGCTGTGAGTGCCTACAGGCGAGCTTGTCAAGCACATGGATGGAAGATCCCAGATGACTTCAATCGCATCGAGGCGTCATGATTTCGTCCGTTGATTATGGTTTTTAACAATATTTTGTCAGTGTGTGACTACACCTAAGGCTGCAACATTCTGCGCCAAGTTCATTGTTTGAAAGCGTTCATCACGGTGTCACAATAATTTGAAAGCATTCAGTTATCAAAAATAAGAAGACTGCAGAAATGGTGAACCATCAAGGGGTTGTATCGTTTCCTCAGGTAATCGGTGTAGATGATTTGGGGAACATTCTATGAATTCTCCTAGTAGCTTCACTCAAGGGAGGACCAGTCGATCTTCATGAGGCCCAGATCTCTTGTAAGCGCTCATATAAACAAAGCAGTTAGATATGCTCTTATTTACAACATTTTCCAAAAGTTTATTATAGTCACAACCTTAACGCAATTCCCTGACAGAATTTTACCGAAATCGATGATTGCAAAAGACCAGCCTTCCTCAGCGCCGGAACAGCCTTGTCAGCCACCCATTCAGTGCACTTCACCAACGGCCGTCTTTCCTCGCCGTCCTCATAAAACTCTAATGGCGATAGCCTCTTGAACGGCTCAGTCTTCATTCGTTTGATATTAAATGCCTTCTGTTGTGGGGGAGCTGGAATTTCTCGTAGAGCCTTGTCCCACGAGTCGGGATAGTTGGCTGCATCCGTCATACCAAGCAGTGTTCGAGAAAAGAAGTTTTCGTCGGACTCTGGTCGAGCAACGAGTTTAATTTCGTATTGCATCCCTTCTGGTGAGGTGATGTCCCCGGTCACTTCATGGATGGTTCCAGAGCCAGTCACTTGGTCTGTTTCAACGAGGATTGCGGTGTGATAACGTGGAGAAGGAAGGTCGGGGTCTGGGATTGCCAAATGGGTTCTGATTATGTAGACGGGGTAGTGGGACATTTTGGATTTGTGCTTTCTGATATGGTAGTAGCGGAGGGGAATATTATAAGGCGGGGGTGTGAGGCAGGGAAGTCAGCAAGGGGGGAGGGAACTCGATTAGAAGTCATGTGTCGTTGGCGGCTACGGCTTTTGGCTGCCTGGTGTGTCTGCCTTCATCCTACATCGCTTACTCTCGCTCACTGTCACACTCTACACTCTATATTGCTACTTCAGTAAACTCTATGGCATGGGTATCTCGGAGACACGGGAACATGGAGAGAATTCCCTCACAGCAACGGCATACCTCAGCACACACCACGATGACCACACTACAGACATGCACCGCGCAATTCACTACGCGCACAAAGGTAGCCCCAACCCTAGATGCAAAACTGCAGAAGCGATATAGCAAACAGACGTCACCGCCTTCAGACTGGTGATTCTGCCTGAATATTGTTTAAGTGTTGTTCGAATAGAGTGAATAGAGATGGCTAGAAGAAGAATCTTCTCTCTACTGATCTCTCACTCTTCTTTCCTATCTTCATCCTCTTTTCCATCCAAACGGCATCTTGAACCATCGGTTCTCAAGCATCATGTCGAGCGAACTGGATACTCAAGTCTCTTACGACACGGATATCAGAGTCTCGTTGCCCTTTCTGCAAGCAGCGCGGCAGAGGAACTATGACTATCTGACTTCGTTGCTCGCTCAGGGTCATCATCCCAACAAACGCGACGATAATGGCTACATGGCTTTGCATCGGGCCATAATCGAAGCTCCTGAAGACCTTACTACTGTGGCAATGCTGTTGACGTACGGGGCAAGTCCACATGCCTTCTTCAGGCCAGGGAACAGCTCGCTAGAGATCACGCCCTTACACTACGCTGCCATGAGGGGTGATGTTGGACTCGTTTCCCTCTTCCTCAATCATGGAAAGAATGACGTGACACCTCGAACCCTTAAGTACTGGACCACTCCGCTTGAGAATGCCATTAGCTATGGTCGTCTATCGGTTGTGGCGAGGTTCATTGAGTTCTTCTCCAGCAGCCAGCTTCTGCACAAACCGACCCGTGGAATTGATGAATCGATCATATTAGCCGCTAAGCTCTGGTACTCAAAGGCGTTGACCTTGCTTCTGGACTACAAAAAGCACCACATGTATCCCAATCCCAACGGGTTCGATGTACTCAAACATGCCTTCTGCGAAGCAATCCGGCCTGAAGCCTGCACGTCCAGCGTCCAAGGCATTACCGAACGAACTGGAGAACCCGGAGACAACACTCCTTCTAAGTGCGCCCATCTTCTTATTCAGGCCGGAATCCGCTTCAGAGATGATGAAATGGATAGATTGCTCAGTATAACCTGCAGCAACGCCCACTTTATCGGTGTCACTCGTCTGCTTCTGAACATGGGTCCCAAGGTGACCGGTGATCACATTACCCGCGCTATCGAAAGCCAGAGTTACCACATGGTGAAAATAGTGACCAAATATGTTATCACCAGTGGTGGTGAAGCCGCGATGAGGCGTGATAGCGAACCTGACTTCATCCAGTATGCTGCTGGCCACGGCAATTTGGACACCTTCGAATACCTTTCCACGGAACTCAGTACAACCTCATCCCAGAGCGCATCAATGCCAACAACCGAGAGTCGCAAAACCCCCCTCATCCACTACGCCGTGTGGGGCCTCCGCCTCGACGTGGTCCAGCACCTTCTGTCAACTCGAGGCTCGAGCGCCAACGAAAAAGATGAATATGGCCACTCCCCATTGATGTACGCTTTCGATATCGCCGACCCAAGCGACGAGAACACACGCCTGGCCATCATTCAGCTCCTCATGCAGCACGGGGTCGATATCAAGGCCAGCTCCATCGAAGGACTGACCGCTCTACATCTCGCCGTCAGATTAGGTGTTACACCCGCCGTCCAGCTCCTTCTCGAAAAGGGCAGTAACCCCAACGCGAAGACCGCCACCGGCAGCGATCTGTATCTCAGACGCAACCCGTCCTTCTGGAGCCCCGAGACCAACGCGCGCCTCCGAACCCCCTTGCACTGGGCCGTCGATCGCCTGGCTAATGTTTCCGTGGACGTCGTGAGACTTTTGCTTCATTATGGTGCGGATATGAACGCTCAGGACGGAAATGGTGTCACACCTTTGAATCTTCTCCTCGGCGACGGATGGTGTATTAATGGAGCTTGGAATGCTCGTATGGAAGTCGCGAATCTCTTGCTGGCCTGTGGTGCGGACGTTGATATCAGAGATATGAGCGGCATCTCGGCTCGTCAGAGAGTCGATCAGCGTGATGCGGAGTTGCATGCCTCTGCTGCTCATATGGCTTGAATGCTGGGTACCTTGGTCTTTGGCTTAAGGTTTCTCTGATTTATTAATTTTGACTCATGATTTACTGCTTGATCTTTGATCTTGCCTTACATGAGGGGTTCGTTTTACATGTTGTCTTTGACTTTATTTGTCATGATTTATTCCCTGATCTTTCAAATCTCACCATACAATCAGGGTTGTTTCACATCTTCTTGCCTTTGGCTTGACTTCGCCTGGTTACTTCGATTTTCATGATTTGTTGCTTGATCTTTTTTCGGAGACTCTTGCTTTTCCTTTGGCTTGAGTAGAATTGTCGCTTGGTGTTTACGAAGATGATGACATATTGACATGTTGGTGAAGTGAATTTTACATCAGAAGAAAGTTTGTGGATATGCTGCCGTGTTCAAGCTTGCTTTCTTGTTATCTCTGGTATGAGACTCGGGATTTGTCCTACTTTGCTTTGCTTTGCTGCGGGGATTTGGTGTTGAGTTGGGATAGGAAGGAAGGCTGTTGGGGATGTAATGGTGGGATGGGATTTCTGTTTCTCGAATGGGAAAAGAACAAAAAAATAGAGAGCAAAAAAGAAGAAAAAAGAAAGAAAGAAAAGAAAAGAAAAGAAAACAAAAAATTAAAAAGGAGAATCTACAAGATCAAAAAAATGTAGAAACAAATACTAAACGAAGAAAAAAAGAAGGAAAAAGGATACAACGAAAAGAGGGGATGAAACGTGTGATATCACGATAATACTTTAATGTTTCTAATGCTTTACGATAGTGATGATAGTATGAACTTAATGTCACTGAAATTAAATTGAAAGTATCCAAGTGATTACGAGATAAGCAACTAGAGGTAGTAGAACAGTCCGGAGTAGTTCGCAACCAACTTCAGCTATTGTAGTCTGGCATGACGAAGTCTGTATAGAAAAGAACATTGAATAGCTTCAGGTTTATAAATTGTGGTATCAAGTGTGACGTATTGTCCTCTTCTCCCGTTCTTTCGATGCAGTGGCCATCTATCTATCATGGTCATCTTCGACGGATGCCAGATATGGTGGTCTGTAGTAGACACACTGGGTGGTAGTTCAAACAGGATCGACTGATAAACAGGCCAGTCTTTGACTAGGGTCAGTCGATCCCCTCAACGTACTACATCAATGAAGCATCCTCCCCGTCGGGAGGGCCTCGCAGGTGTATCTTGATATGACGCTGCGTCCTATGGCTCCGAGTACTCTCGGTCTCCGACCCTCGAAGTCCTGATCGCATCCGAAGAGCGTCATGGCCGTCCTGAGTGCCTCGCGACATACTCCTGAGGCAGCCTAAGGTATAATGATGATCCCAATAAAGCATGACTTAGCCCCTCAATCACTCCCAGCCTCGTCCTCACCACCATCCACTTCATCTTCAACCTCCAACTCCGGCAGCGTGAACTGCGTACTAGGTCCCGCCTCCGCCTGCTGAGTATTCGCAGCCGAGCGTCTAGCCCTCTGCGCAGCCGGATCAGACATAGTGATGGCGCGCTCACCAACAAACCTATCACCCGGCCAAGCACTCTTGCACACAGGACAACTCTCCGACTTTTGCATACGAAAGAAATTCCGCATGCAGTGGTCATGCAAGCGTCCAGTACAATCGCGGTCGCCGCATCGTTGGCCCTATACACAAACAACAAAATCATTAGCCAAGGATGCCCCAAACCACAACTCACTCCCACGCGAATAGAGATTCGAACTCACCGCAGTAATAATATCCCGACACGCTGCACAGAACTTAATCTTCCTAATCCCCTCATCATTATACGCCGCCACCAACCACCCCCTCAACTCCATCAACCCCCGCGGACTCAACCGATAATACCCCTTCCTACTCTTCTCGAACCACCCCTGCTCGACGAGCTGCTTCAGCATCGTCTCCGCCTGCGTCATCGTCAACGACTGCGCCGCGCCCCCCTGCGTCGCCTGCTGCTGCTGTGTCCCTGACTCCCGTCGATTGGCGTCCCCTGCGCTTGCCTTGGCTAGCTGCAGCGCCTGCATACTACTTATGACCATTGCTTCCTGGCGGCGGGTGTTGTATGTGTCGAACATGGCGTCGAGGATGCGCTTCACGAAGGCAATTTCATCGGCGGAGTAGGTGGTCGCGAGCTGGGTGAGGGCGTCGCTGGTTGTGTTGACGAGGGCGTAGACTCGTTCGGGGGCTGGGGGAGGGGGTGCGTCGGGGTCATTGTTGTTGATTTCTATCTGGGGTAGTATGCTCCGGATTTCGAGGTCGAAGGGGGATATGGCGCTGTTGGCAGCTGCGATGTAGGCTTGGAGGTCGTCTTCTGTTATGTCTTCGGGTGAGATTTGTTCGTTGTCTAGATGTAGAGGGTTTGATGTTAGTAATTGATGTGGATCCCATTTGATATTCTGGTGTAAGGTATATGGTATGGGAATACCTCTGACGGAGAATATCGCAGCCAGGACGGGCTTTGCTTCTGAAAAGGTCATGGTGGACCGCGCCATGAAGGCTTGGAGAAATGCGCGGTTGCTGTCATCGTAGCGCTCGTGGTCTTCTGCGTATCGGGGCATTTTTGTATGTAGTTGGTTGGGGTATTTGGTGGAGGAGATTGTGGGTTTGGTGGTTATATAGTGAGTTTGTGCATTGCGGATTTTCTTGTCGATTGTAGGGGGTTTGGTAGCTCTTTTATGCGGGGAGTATATGAATGGATGGACTGGACAAAGAATTTGGATGCGACGGACGACGCGATGGACGCGCCGGCGGCCCCGCGTTTATTGGTTCTGGATGCCAAGACTGGAGGTTCTTTGTGGCATCCAATGTTTATGACTTTGAAGATAAGGAGGTTCTAGCAGCGTTAATTACTTATTATAGATACTATTATTATAGAGGGTATTACCATATAGTAAGAACTCGTTTTCATTCCTAAACACAATCCAGAACCATATTGCGGATATCGCAAATGCAGTTGATATCATAGCGTAAAGAAACTAGAATAGAAATACAGCTGACAGATGATGGTCATTCTCCCCCAACGCCGCATATAGAACAACACAAAGGACATTCCAAATCACAGATCCTCCCCCTCTAGTACCTCCTCCGGGTCGGCTCCGGACTAGGACTGCGGCTGACACTTCTCGCATCCCTGCCACGCTCCTTCAGCCACTTCTTCGTACTGAGACGAAGATCCCGGTCCAACTCATTGCTGGGGTCCTTCCGATGAATGAAATTGCAGAATCCACCACGTACACACCCTTCGCCGCTATTTAACCGACAACACGCTTCTCGGAAATCCGTAACCGGTGATAATTCACAATATATGGGTCGTGCCGCGTACCATCGTGAATTCAAAGCGTCGCAGGCCGCCTGGGCATCTTCTTCGTATTTGAAACGCGCGTAGACATTTCCGATGAGGTCTATCAAAGGGGAGATTTAATGTTAGCCTATGTCTTGCTACTATCCGGGGAAGGGATAATATAATGAATGGATGCGACTCACGGTCATTGTTGTTATCGCAGACAACCAATTCCTCCAACTCGCCGTACTTGCACATCTCGCACCACACATCCTCGTAGAAAGCATCAAAGTGGTTCTGTAGCTGACTGGGGTTCATCTTGCTTTTCGGGTCGTACGCGGGATTCTGGTACATGTTCGGCATCAGGATCGTCTGAGAGTATGATGGCTTGACGTGCTTCCGGGAGCAGCGGTCGCCATGTCTGCAAGCTCCGATTTTGTAGTAGAAGGAGCAGTTGACCTTGTCCTGCTCTGTACCGAAGATGGAGGCGAGATAGTTGGCCATGGTGGATCGTGTTGCGCCGAGCTCGGTTCGCGGAGATGATTTGGACGATGATAGGAAAGAAGATAGGTGGAGAGGTTCAAGAGCTAGAGAATATTAAGAGTACGCGAAGGCTGCAACAACGCAGAGACAAATATGTTAGCGCGACGTGGTTTCCCCAGCTCTTGATTGCAGATTCTGGAGAGCTTCGATCTCGTGGCGGCCGCGCTGACTAATCTCGGAGAAGCTTCTGGTGCCTGAGGCTTCCATATTCAGCATGTACCTTACTCAGCTTTTTATTTGTGATTAACTTTGGGTGGAATTACTATTCGTTTATAGTTCACTAGCCAAAGAAAAGTCTTAGTTATTATTCTATTGAGGAATTCTAGCCACTCTGTACGTTTGTGGATGCAAGCTGACTATATACGTTCCAAGCCTCTACGGCTCACACCCAGCCCGCTGATATCTACAGCAGGCTGGACCCCTTCCACCAAATCGGCAATGACCTTTCCAGTACCAAGAGCAAGCGAGATTCCCCAGGGGCCATGACCCGAAGCAACAAACACCCCACCCTTCCTGCTTCCTGTGCTGGTTTTGATGTCACTTCCCAACAAGCTGTCGTCAATTCTCCCAACAAAAGGTGTGCCACGATCTGAAGCAGGACGGAAACAAAGGCCTTCACGGACTATCTTCAGGTCGTTGACGTTCGGGGTTTCGTCGGTCGATTCCGTTTGGCCTTCTGCAAGTTTTCCAAGCAGGCGAACGGACGCCGCCTTCAATCTATCCATCTCCTTTTGGTCCATCGACTTATGGGAGTCGTCCGCTCGTTCCGGAAGCGGGATCGTCTTGGTGTTCAAACCCGCAATGTAGATTTCCCTTCCTTCCCTAGAGAATAATTCCGGGCTGAAGCCGCAGGATGGCGGCCATGTCGTGAACAACGCATGAGTCTCCCCATGATACTTTTCCTCGTGTTCCAGAGTATGTCTTGGAGAGTGGAGAACCAAAGAATATCCAGCGAGTGGATATATGGGAAGTGCAACCTTGGAGAATGGGAACAGGTCACGGAAGACCTGCGGTGTCCACGGTCCAGCGCAGACAACCAGGTTCGTACAGGGGATAGTAGATTCGGATTTTGTGTTCAAGTCCACGATTCTGACGCCAATGATCGTGCCGGCCTCGTTCCTAACAAGCGACGAAGCTTTTGTTGGGTAGTGGAGCTTGACACCTCGTGACGTGCAGCTGTCCATGAGGAATCTGCACAACCTCAAGGGATCACTAATAATCATCAGTATATTTGCTTCATTGCGAAAGGATTTAATCAGCCTTACACTTGACCGGTCGTATTCTTATCACTGATTTGCTCTACCTTCGCCCCCTGCTGCCGTGTCACCCATTCTGGGACCTCGGGTTCCCCGTACTGACTTGTGCCTGCGGCTGTCTCTGCGCGACTTGTACCTGCACGAAGCCAATCGTCGCCACGAGCACCTCCTTGGTTGTTCACGGAGCCTAAGCTCAGCGCCACACCTTTTATGTAACCCCATTTCTGCCTTCCACCGTGCTCAGCAGCAAGGGACTCGTGTAGGTTGAATGACAGCTCTCCCAATGGCGCGAGAGAAGGCGCAAACCAATCCTTGGCTAGGAAGCCAGCAGCGTAGCCAGAGGCAGAGCAAAACAGCTCAGATGCTGATTCAACGACATGGATTTCTTCTTGCGGTTGGCTTTGAGAGAGATAGTAGGCAATTGAGGAGCCAATGATACCTCCTCCAAGAATGACGGTAGGCATGTTGGAATGGGGCTATGACTTTTATAAGGGTTTTCGGGTAACGATTGCGCCCAAGTTACGCAACCACAACACGATTTTTGATATGAATTTTGGTATCTCAACACTCTCCAGTTGGGTCGCTGTCAAATTTATATAAAGTCGTAGTGGGAGTGGGTATCTCCAGAACTCCATGGCGGGGTAGATCCGGGACAGTCGATTCGATGAACAGAGTGGATCACGCCCTTCGAATGATGATTCCCGGATGAGGAACTGTGCACGCTGCCCGCTGCTATTTGCCCTTATCGAACCGGCACCCTTCCCGAGTTGACCGGGCCGGTTCACCTTGTATTAACAAGCATGAGGATGCATCATCGTGATAATGTATCTATCTTGAACTTCAGATAGAGCAAGCCATCTTGCTCTCTTGCGTGATGTTGTTGCTTAGAGATAGCGTTCCGAACTCGGACGGCCTGCCGATTCCGGAGGGCCAGACGTTTCCGGGTCTTCGTCCCTCCCCTGACAATTGATGGAAAATACATTCTCTAGAAAGATCATTTGCTTATGTGATTATCCCAATATGCTGTAGTTTATTTCTTGTCATGAGAAGCAGGAGTTGAGACTACCCTCATGTTGAGTGGTAGACCCATACGCCCTACTCAAGGTACCGGGAAAAAGCATAGCTTCCCCACGGGCTTCATGATACAGTGGATTCTCTCCAGATCGTTTAGGCCCTTGGCAGATATTCTAGAATTTTCTAAGACATGCTCTGTTCATAGAATGGCATTTGCATTTGGGAATTGATTTCTGGGCCCTAAAGAATATAGGCGTGGTATATACAAGCCATTTCAATTCATGCCTGTGGCTGAACGGAGGTCATCGGGGGACTGGCTAGCCACAATACTAGCAAAATCGGTCAGTGGAATATATAGATTCCGCTTCTCACCAATTATAGAGACTGGTAAGTATATACATACTAGTAGGATGATGCTATAGTATGTTTTAATATACCTTTCCACGGGCTCCACTCAACCATGGTTAATGTTTTCCGCGGAAAAGTCAACCTTTCAAGAAACAATTACTTCAAGGAACTTGTCAGAAGACTGGGAATAGTGTGACTGGGGAAATGTAGTCATCTTGGTACTATTTCAGTCTAGAAGGTCTATGGCAGTGGAGTTGACTAGCGTCATACATAAAACAGCGGATAAATTGCCGACAAAGACCCCACGTTCCCCCTCGTTTCATCAGCGCCAAAGCTCGCGGCATCTCACAACTCTCCTTGTCATAGTAAGTAATGCTCTATATCTCAAGTCACATGAGCACTGAAACTGAAGGGATACTTTTTCCATCAAGATGTCGCCGCTGCTCCATACTACAGAATGAAAACAGGCTTGCATTAGGCTGTGTCCCGCGGGAACCAGTGTAACCCTTCGATCACCTTTCCATCCAGCTATTCTTAGTATACTAGCATTCACGTTGTGATTAATGTCTATTTTAGTCATCCACAAAGTCCATTGACTATAATGGCTCTGCTCCCTATGAACTCCCAAAAGCCATACCTGGTGCCGCCAACACATTTGGTGGGCAACTCTCAGTACTATGATGTGTCGAGGGGATGCCCCCGACTCCAAAATTGTCGAATTTAGGTAGTATCGAAGTATATTTCTCATGCAGACAGCTGCTCAGTATAACACAGTTCACCTACTCTACGCAGCGAGTAGATGGTAGGGCTTAGCGCCATGAGCTCTATCATCCAGGTAGGACTCTGTAGGTTTATCAGACACCTGAAGCATAAGAACAAATTCCGAGCCAGACCGCGTGCACCTACGTCACACTTCCAACAGATAGGTTTGTTAAAGTGATCAAACCGATGGATAGAGCAAGTCTGTCCTTCAGTGGTAATGGACGTGGAAGCGCAGTCAGAGGGTCAATTGCACGGGAAATATGGCAAATGGCTCTAGTAGTAAACCCTCCGTCGGCCCGTCCGTTCTTGGAAGGCAAGTGGCCGGTCCGATACGAGAGCATCCCACCCCCACTCTCGTCATAGCATCCATTTATTCAGCCACTTGCTGTGCAACCAGACCAGTTCCATCGTCACACAAACCAAGCACAATGTCGAGCAAGACTATCATCGTTACCGGTGCCTCTCGAGGTAATATTGTTCGACCCATCCAATATTCCAAACCCAATTCATCCGCAACCTCAACCCCGCAGTCACTGACCATACTCGCACACCCAGGAATCGGCCTCGCCATCGCGAAATACCTCCTCACCGCACCCCAATCCCACAATGTTGTCGTGATCGCTCGTAGTCGCGAACCCCTCGAGAAGCTCAAGGAGCAATACAGCAAGCAGGTCGAAGTGCTCAATGGAGACCTGGCCGATTTCTCCCTCGGTCAGAAGGCCGTGGACCTGGCTCTCAAGTCCTTCGGCCGTCTGGACGGCATGGTCCTCAACCACGGCATGCTCGGACAAGTAGGCAAGGTCAAGGATGCCGATTTCGCGCAATGGAAGCACGCATTCGATGTGAACTTTATCAGTCTTACTGCTTTCGTAAGTGCGAGTTTTCGAATCTATGGCGGATAGTGATACATCAATGGACCTCGATAGCTAACGCATTGATATTCATTATCTGCTTAGATCAAAGCCGGTCTTCCCGCCCTCCGTGAATCCAAGGGAAAAATTATCTTCACTTCGTCGGGTGCTGCCGTCACAGCTTATAGAGGATGGGCTCTTTACGGTGCGACCAAGGCGGCTATGAACCACCTCGCTTTGAGCTTGGGAGAGGAAGAACCCGAGGTCACTTCGATTTCTATCCGGCCTGGTATGGTTGACACCGAGATGCAGCGGGAGCTGCGTGAGGACCACGCTACGACTCTGGAGCCGCAGATGCATGCCAAGTTTACGACGGTCCACAAGGATGGCAAGCTCCTTAAGCCAGAGCAGCCGGGCCATGTAATGGCGAAGCTGGTGTTGGACGCTCCTAACGAGCTTACTGGGAAATTCTTCACGTGAGTGATTTGGAAATCTCTTCATTTCAGGATAAAGCTAATAGATAAAACTAGGTGGAACGACAAGGCTCTTGAGGCGTTCCAGGAGTAGATTACAACTAGATGATTCTTATGAAGACAGTCAGTATATACCGTCAACAAAACTCAATATAGAACATATTGCGAAATAGAATACAAATCAGCCGAAAGATGAAAAGCAGGTTACATTTCGGAAGCATTAGGCGTTAACCTTCATACTTAGCATGGAATGTAATGTGATCATCATGTAAAAAGTTGTGGACGCATAGAAGAAAATATTATCGCATACCTTACGGATATCGAAATGAGGTATTGTGTGGTCGTGATAAGCGAATTGCAGAGTCTGCACCTAAATTCTTTGAATAAGTCAGCAATGTACGATGCAATGACTGATTGGAAAATTCCGAATGTGAGGAAATATTTCAGTGGTCCGTTTGGCTTGGACAGTGTACGTCACCATAGATGGTATGATAGGGGCGACAACGATGTTCATCATGATAATTGGAAGGCAAACAAGAAAAAAAAAGGGTGAAATACATACCATCGAAGTTAGTTCCTTGAGAAATGTCAAGAATTGAGCAAGCAAAACAAGAAAAGTGATGCCATTTTTCACTTTCTGTTGTGCGAAGAGCACTGCATGAGTGAAGAAATCATGAACCGAAAAAAAGCTGTGAACCGAGATTAAAAACCCCAGAGGCGGTATGTTTCTGCCGGGCGGTTCTTCCGTTCCGTGACGAGTCCCTCCGCGCCGGGATTTAATCGCAGCTATTTATACCAACCAGTTGCTCCCCGCGCACCGTCACAATACATACTTTCCAATCTGGAGCCAACTTCCACCACTGTGCAGAACGCGCGTTTCGCCTAGTTCCTTCCTTGTCGCCCATCATGTCAGATCGCGAATTTAGTGGTAAGTTTTATTCCGGATTACTTTCTCGCGCAAATTCAAGGTATCGAGCTAACTCGCGCTTTTCCTACTAGCCAACGACGACTTGTCGCTACCTAAAGGTATGTCGCCTTCCTCCGTGTTGTCGCGTCGCATCAACTCCCCCACGTTCGAGCTCGTCGGGGCCAGTCGCCCTTTGCTTTGTTTTCCTCGGATTCAGTACATAACATAATCAAATATACATCATATACTAAATCGCAAAATATACAGCGACGGTTCAAAAGATTATCACCGAGATTCTACCACCCTCATCTGGCCAGACTTTCTCCAAAGATGCCCGCGATCTCCTCATGGAATGCTGTGTCGAATTCATCACCCTGATCTCCTCCGAAGCCAACGACATCAGCGAAAAGGAAGCCAAGAAGACTATCGCCTGCGAACATGTCGAGCGCGCCCTCCGTGATCTCGGTTTCAGCGACTACATTCCCGATGTCCTTGCTGTCGCGGAGGAACATAAAGAGCAGCTGAAGGTATGTGGCTGACACCCTTCCTCAATTTGTGGTATTGTCCCGCTGACATATATCTATTTTACTAGTCACGAGAGAAGAAGCAGAGCAAGATGGAGCAAAGCGGGTTGTCCGAAGAGGAGCTTCTACGGCAGCAACAGGAGTTGTTCCGCTCAGCCACCGAGAAGTATCATGCTGCTCCGGAGTAAAGATCACGAGTTCTGAATATCCGGAAAGGCAAAAAGTAATGCGGTTAGTCTCATGCTGGTCATAGAGGGTCTGGTTTCGGAGTTCTTGGGACGTTTTCCTACGACGGGGGCTTGGAGTTTGGGTGGTTATGGTATCTTACGCTTTATACGCTTCGTGGGAAGGGGGCTCATTTATCTATTTTCATACTATTTTCTATCTTCTCTCGGCTGCGGCAGTCTTTCGAATACCTTATACTATTTATTGATGTGCATGGCGGTACACGGATGCCTTTGACAGGAGGATATGTTTCATTGGTAGTGCTTGTACCCATGGTAATGACTATGGTCGATTTCCGGGCAATACCAAATAGCATGGACTAAGATAGTGTCCAAATACCTTGGCAGCATTGCAGCTCGCTAGGCGTTGGTCGGGGCTATCCTGACCCAGTACCAGTTACATTCTAATCTAATAGCTTCCTACCGTACTGTTTGTTACTCTTTGTCTGAAAACCAGGCTGCGGTAAATGATATAGCATGATCTCTCCCTTCAGTCCCTTCTGTGTTCTCGGGTACTTCGTAGTAGTATATACTAGTAATTCCGACTCACCGCGAATTGAGGCTTATCACAACTTGGCTAACCTGTTGACTTCACCACTAACACCGCACCGTATAATAGTATCATAGATCTACCTACAGTTCTTATGGTTATCTTCAAAAGACGAGAAGCATACCAACTCGCTAATTACAGTAAAATTGAAAAAAGAAAAATAAAAAACATACAACAGAAGGGATTCGCTGGTGGTCACCCACCCAACTACTAACCTCCCAGCGTGTGGCTTAAGTACGGCTGAGCGGACGGGAAGCCCTGTTTTCCACACCCTGTGGTCGTATATACTAGACATCTTAATACAATAGGTTATATTGTACTCTAGCATATGTTAACTTCCACTAAATTGCCGCCTTCTCGTCTGTGGGTTGGAAACCACGACGATTTCCAGAAGAGGTGTTGGGGGTCCTATGGGGCGGGTTGGTGTTAGTGAATGAGATAGGGTGTATATAGAATTCATTTTTTATCTAATAGACCTGGCAGCTATTATTCGTTCAGGACTACTACTTGTCTAAATACTGATAGTTGAGATTACTATGGTTTATCCTCGGTATCATCTACTTAGTACTACTCATTATATATAAACGGGTAGGGCTCTTGTTTGTTGGAAACTATAGTGCTAGTAAGTTAACAATGGGAAGAATGAGACCCCCAAACTATATGTATACAAAAGCACAACTAGTACAATGTAAACACCAGTCTCAACCCCAATTGTCTGCTCATAGCAGAGAAATAAATGAAAGGTGGTAGTCGAGCTGTGGCTTTTTCAGGCTGTCCCAGGCATTAACAGGGACACCGCCTGCGGCAGTAGTCGCCCACCCAGCTACAGCAGCCGAATCACACCGAGTACTTGAACCCATTGTACAAACAAAATGTGCGCTACGGAGAAAGCTCGGCTTTGGGCCGGGAATCATGAACCAGCCCATCGCTATCGTGCAGAGATCTCTAGAGACCGGAGTCTCAGCGGACTAGAGAGATCCCTAAGCTGAATGGTGGTGAAACAAACCAATGAAGCCACTGCACGGTGCTATTACGAGAATGTTGACCATGTGGCCTTGTCAAAACTACAAAATATTATCGAATAACAATCTGTGGTACGACAACTTCAATGAGGAATTTGAGGGCCAAGCATGCAAATGCCTGGATGATAAAGGAGCTCGGGTGAATTGTCATGCAGTGACACCTGCCCCCATGAAGCATTACTCCAATTCCCACCCCCTCTCCTCCTGCTTCGTGGCATACCACTGCTTCACATACTCCAGGCCCATGTGTGGTCCATATGGCTCAGTTTCCCACAATGGAGTCGGGGCTTGCTGCCCCGTCTCTTGTAAACATGACTTCTGCAGCTCGTCCAGACTGCCTCCGCGGTCATAGATGATGCCATCTGTCAAAAGGCTCCGCATATTTGCCCTCAATTCTTCTGTTTCCGGAGTACAGACCATCCCATCATCATCGAGCAAAACACCATACCCGTTGCGTGCACCCTCCACCGTTACCAATTTCCGACGGACATCCATTGCAACTCGCTCAGCGGGTCTAGTAAGGGGATCGCCCAACCCACCACCTCCCCACGTCACCCATTCTAACAAATCCCCCGGATCCACTCGTACATGGTCGCATTTTGACGGCAGGGTCTCCGTAACTGGACTATCGGCACTGCGAGAGTACCGATATAAGATCTTCCGCGAACGTTGTCCCGGTTTTCCCCCTTTGAGACCCCATGGCTTCGTGAACCACCGATCATCATGCAAACTGATCTCCCCTCTCGCTAGGAATCGATAGAGGGTTCGTTGTGCATTGCCTCCTCGGAAGTATCCCGGCCCACCGCTGTCCGCGACGCTCTCGTTTGCTTCAATCCGAAGGGGGTAATTCAGCTCGATGCTCTCCGTTGGAATTGACTTGATGGCGGGGAACAAGCAATGACAGTCCAATCCATCGCCTGCTGCTCGAGCCGGAACCCCGCCAAAGCCAATCTGATATAGTTGATACCATTCCCCAGTGGAGTAGTATCCGGAGTAGAAGAAATGGGGCGAGTCGCTGAATCCAGCTGCCGCTACATAGGCATCGTTCTTCTGCCCGATCAGCGCTTGGATCACGTCCATGGTCCGGCCTAGGAAGTGAGTGCGACAAGAAATTGGGGCGGGCCGGACTGGCTTTAGAACGGTGCCTTCGGGGATATGCACTTCAATGAGATCGTGAAACCCGTCGTTGATGACTGTTCCCGGTGCGGCAGCGGCTATGAGGTAGTATCCCACCAGCATCTTGAACATGGTCTCTGAGAGATAAAAGTTGATGCTGTGCTCGCTCTGGGGAGAAGTACCACTCCAGTCGAAATTTAACCCCCCAGCGCTGGTTTTCTGCATCGAACATGTTACGGCCCAGGGTCCGACGCCATGGCCGTCGTCGTCGACGAAGTCGGTAAATGTGCTGAGTTTATCGTCAAATTGACGCTCAACAATCTTGGCTAGACCATTCCGATTCCGATCTAGAAGTTCCTGACAGGCAGCTAGATACACCTCGGTTCCGAAGCGGGTGGCCAGCTCGGAGATGCGCGTTGCTGCCATGCGACATGCCGTCACCAGAGCCGTCAGATCCGATCGATACCATGCCGGTTGGCGGGAATTTCGACATAGCAGATCAACCAGGTCGCTGTTCATCACCCCTTGGGAGTAGAGCTTGATGCATGGAATCTGGACTCCATCATCATAGATGGAGGTGGCGTTGATGGACATGCTCCCCGGAACCATGCCTCCAACATCGGTCAAGTGTCCGAATTGAGAAGCCCAGCCGATCAACCGATGTTCATGGAAGATGGGAAGGATGATGATCACATCGTTCAAGTGACTAACAGCCCCCTTGACCATGTATGTGTCATTGGTAATGAAAACATCACCTTCTTCGATACTTCCCGTCCACACCCCAAGGAACTCTTTGATGAAGCTGCCGAATTGACCCACAAGCATCTTGCCCTCTGCAGTTGTGATGACATTGAATTCATCTTGCTGCTCGCGGATAGCAGGGGACATGCTGCAGCGGAGTATCAATTTGTCCATTTCGCCACGGATGCATGCCAGTGAAGAGGATATCAGAGTTGCGATAAGCGGATTACTGCGCATCAATTCTGCTGCTGTTTCCGAGGTATGTTGCGTCGTTGGGGGTGGTTGCTCTGCAATCGGCAGGATGAGAATATTACCAAGGCGATCGATCTCACCTGAATAGCCGGGAAGAATCAGTGTGTTGCTGTCCATTTCCGTGATGATGCAGGGTCCTGTAACCCGGATACCTTCGAGCGTGATTTTCTCTCGCTCCCACACTGTCGCTAGCTGTTCTCGGCCCTCGATAATAATAACCTGCGTGCCAATGACGGCCGAGGATGGAGGCTCGCTAGATTCTGCTTTAGGGACTACTGTCAGCTCCACATCTGATGAGCCATCCTCGAGTATCACGCCAATACGCATCAGCTCGAGTTCAAAGTCAGGAAGACAGTAGCCAAACTGCTGCTGATGCTTCTTGTTGAAAGCGTCTTGTAGCACACGGCGCCAAGCCTGGTCGTTCAGTTGGATTTCGTCGTGCGAGAGATTGATTGTGATGGTCAGGGCCTGCCCTTTGTATCGGACATCAACCTCGTACGTGGCAACCAATGGCATAGGCCAGTCCGAACCACAAGAGTCTCGCATTATCTGTTTGCAGTGCTTTTCCAGTTCTTCCACCTGATGTCGCAGTTCCTCCGACGAGGTATCTCTCACCATCCGAGTAAAGGTGACGGACTGCTCATGACTCAACTTGGTTGTCAGATCGCCCTGTGCACACAGGATGCCTGGAGACGGAGGTACGATGACTGGCCATGCACCTAGAAGCTTTCCTACTGCATTAGCATGCAGTGGCCCAGCACCGCCAAACGCAACGAGTGCAAAGTCTCTTGGATCATATCCCTGTTCGACAGAGACCAATCGAACAGCACCATACATTGTTTCATTGACAATGTTGATTATGTCCTCTGCCGTCTGTCTCAGAGGTAGTCCCATTGTGGTGGCAAGTTTCTGAACCGCGGTCTTTGCTGCTTCTGTATCCAAGCAAAATTCACCACCCAGTAGGCTATGGGGTAGGTATCCCAGGACGAGATTTGCATCGGTCACCGTCGCTTCTGTCCCTCCCTTTCCATAACAGGCTGGACCTGGCGCTGCCCCAGAACTCTCTGGTCCGACCCGCAAGGTCTCAGTGACCTCCATATATGTTGCGATTGAGCCACCTCCAGCCCCAACGGTATGAATGTCCACTGCCGGTGCACGAACCGTTAGGGTATCGACCACAGTATCCCGACGAATACGCGGCTTCCCCTCCAAAATGAGCGCACAGTCCGTCGAAGTCCCTCCCATGTCGAGAGTGATAAGGTTTTTGTACGGGGTGCTTCGAGCGACCGCATCAGCCACGCCTTTGGCTCCTCCAGCCGGCCCAGACATCAAGATATTCACGGGGAACTCGCCGGCCAGGCCGACACTCGTCAAGCCACCATCACTCTTCAACACCCGAATCGCCTCTGTCTCCGACGCCAACTGCTCGGACAGCTCGCGCAAGTAATTCTGCATCACCGGCTTCACCAAAGCATTGGTGCAGGTCGTGACCGTTCGCTCATACTCGCCCACCTCCCGCAACACTTCACTCGAGCAATTGACCGCCACTCCCGGACCACATACCTCTCGAATTATCTTCGCAACAGCCTCCTCATGAGCAGGATTCCTATACGAACTCAGCAACGAAACCGCCACCGCCTCCGGCCTCTCTCTCTCCACTAACTCCAGCAAATCCCCTCTCAGCCTCTCTCCATCAACCTCCACCACCGTCTCCCCATCAACCGACATCCTCTCCACACACTGAACCACCCTCTCCAGCGGCACCGGCGGCTCAGGTGGGGTATAGTAAAGCCACGCCCCAAGACCCCCAGGGATTTGCGACCGTCTCACAGCCAGAATATCTTTATGCCCAGCCGTGACCACCAAGGCAGTCCGCGCTCCTTTGCCTTCCAACACGGCATTCGTCGCCGTCGTGGTACCATGATGAATGAACCTGAATGTCCCATTCCAGTCATACTGTTCCTTGAGAAAGCGCCGCACCTTCGCGATCCCGTGTCTGATCCCGATCGTTTGGTTAGGCGTGGTGGGGACTTTGGCGCGGACTGTCTCATTATTCGGAGTGAAGACGCACACGTCAGTAAAGGTGCCGCCGACGTCGACTCCGAGGCGGAATTCGTAGGATGATACCATCACTGTAACCAATCCAAGGCTCGTTGTTTATTTAGAAGAAGTCGGAAATCATAGCTCAGAGAGTTGAATTAGGATTGAAAATGGGCATAAGCATAGGCAACTTATCTCAAATGACTGAGGGGTATAGTCGCGATCGGCGGACTGATAATATTTTAGCTGCAGATGCGTGCCGTGTATGATGTATTTAGGATGTTGATGGGTCCCCCGAACGGGCCAAATGTGACTGTACGATATACCTTTTGGCGAATAGGGTTGATGCCGTCGGCATGTATGCATAAGTCTCGGAAACAAGCTACTGTGTATGGTAAGGTGCCGCGATTGTAGATCGTTTCCGCTGCTAGGGACTTTTGTAAGACTATGCGGCTTAGTTGGAGGGGTGTAATCTCCCTCGTATTAGAGAAAGTTACTTGTGGTTTTGCATGCAGTCTCTTATCTGTGGAGGGATAGCACTTCCTCTATGTACTGAGCCTCTCCTTCCCTGGGTGGTAGGTCCTTGCTAACTCGAGGACATCATCAAAACCTTAATGCGACTAGCTTTCATATTTGTAAAATACCTTAGTGTATAATAATTTTGGAAGAAGAGATTATAACATACGATCACAGAGCATGGAGGCCATCATCAGAATCCATCCAGTCTCTGGTGCCTGAACGTACCTATACGCCTACCTATTTGAAAGTTCAGTAAAATTTCACTCAATTGTATCAGCGGTCCGTAAGTCATCAACTGTCGTTCCCCGTTCAATTTCGTCCATTTTCCCCGGTATTTAGATAGACTTCCTAGTTTACCCTACGCCCCGAGTCAGTTGGTCGTCCGGGTAGAGTTTCTCGGGATTTAGCATACGCAGATTAATACCCGCTTATGTTCGTGTAAGATCAGGGGTTTTGAGGTACTGCTATGCTAGCATCCGTGCCAAATTTCCGCATTCCGTCCTCGACCGATTGGGCTTCACCCCTCACGCAAATAAGAGACAGTGGATGGTGGTTGTAACTTCTCATTGTGCTCTTCTTGTGTAAAACCATATTGCATGATATAATTCTTGCCAATAAAAGAGAAAATACATACGACCACAGGGTGTGGAAAACAGGGCTTCCCGTCCGCTCAGCCGTACTTAAGCCACACGCCGGGAGGTTAGTAGTTGGGTGGGTGACCACCAGCGAATCCCTTCTGTTGTATGTTTTTGGGTCATTATGTTTTTGCTACTCTATCTTCGCCTCTCCTTAGTCAACTATCTCTAAAATAAAGTTAGGAACTCATTGTCCGGGTCGCAGCTCATCGTGGTCTGAAAAAAGGTGAGTGTGGTCTAACATTCTGCCAGTTACCTTACCGCCTATTTCAGACCACGCCGAACCTGTTCTTGGCAAAAGCTCATCATAGTCAAGAATCTTAGTTTTAGACCACGATAAGCCTATAATAAGCTATATATCAGAACTTTTTAGGGTATTTAGAGTATTTATTAGGGTATTTTATTATGGAGTCTTTTTTTTTTTTTTTTTGAACACTTTAAGCTTAGGATTAAAATGTGCATAGTTTCAGTATACTGAAAATATGTAATTTTTATGAAAAATAAAGACCTCATCATGGTTAAGATAGAAAAGAGTTGTTCCGTATTTAGCGTTTGACCATGCCGAGTTTATTTCAGACCACGCCGAGCTGTAAGCCCCTCATAGTCTCCTCTTTGATAAGCCTTACCCCGTAGTCATCTCTGCCCGTACCCAGTATCTCTGTTAAGATTCATCAAGTTCCGTTGCCCCAACACGTGACTATTGTTTTACACTACATTCATTCATTCTTGATCCTCTCAAATTCTCTCTTCTTGAACAATATCTCTTCATGATAACGTTCCCTAGTATGTTTAATCTCTACAAGTAGTAACCGGAAGACTGCAACCCTCCCTAGACAAGCTGGACGTTTTAGTAGTTCAAGCTGAGGTGTAGGACTACCAGCCATCTGGGCGCTTTGAGCCCTCGGCTTTCCTGATGCTTGTATCAAGGAAAATGATCGTTTTGAAGGACTTGCTGTTGAAGCCGAGAGGCGACAAAGGACACAACGTGTGCTTCGAGCGAGGGGATGGAACAGCGGTGCCGAAGGCGGAAACGGGGAATACCTCTACAGATTAATGCTGTCAGCAGTGCGGCGCTCTTTCACCTGAGTAATCCGACCACGTGATACGAAGTGCTTAACTAATACAGGCTATTTGTTAGTCACACCTCTTCATCATCAATTCAACCACTTTAAGGAATCGTTCCAACTCCTACTCCTGAGTATCCTCATATCTTCAACAAACGCTAGTCCCAACCGACTCGCTCATTGCACATCTCTTAATGTAGCCCTCTTCGACAATTTGTTTTGCTGCAGTAGCCTGCCTGTATATAGCTTAGTCGGAATAGCACTAGTGGTAGCTACGGTCGACCGTACCGAGGATCCTGACTTCGAGAACCCCGATCGGTCCGTCTTCCTGATCCATAACATCAATCAAATCGAAATCATGAATCTTCACACAAGACGGCCACATTGGCCGACTATCTGCTTAGCATGGGCGAAAAAAGAGAACGAATTGGAATGAGAAATACACGAGCAGTGGAGGCAGAGCAGCAGATCAGAGCCCCAAGTGGAGGCAGAAATATGATATGATACTGGACAAATCAGCGAATAGGAGAGAGGGCAGGCGACCGATATCGGACGACAAGTGAGCTCGCAGGAGATGGTGAAAGACGCAGGCGAAAGTGAACACGAGAGCCAACAGAAAGGCGAGCGAGCGATCGAATTGTATCCAGGCCGAGGGTTGAAGCGCTGGATTCCGTGTCTCCAGACACGAATGGATATCGGCTAAGCCCTGCAGGTCTTCATTTTGAATTCTCTCCAGCTTTTCAGCCCAGCCTTTCCGTCCTTAAAAATCCACGAGCTAAACCTCACGATTGCCATCAATCACAACGTTGCGTGGATGGGCGTCCCCCCAATAGTACCCATTCCGATGAACAATTCGAAGAGCGTCTGAGATCTGATTGTACCACTGTTGGCGCTCGGTAGTACTCACTGCTACACCTGTTCCGATCATCTCATCCAGAATACCTGTAGAAGGGATATGGGTCATAAGAATCCCAGCATATATTGTCCCTGCACCTAGGATGCCTTCTACCTTAGGAACCCGAAGGGCACCTCCACTTGGCAACACGGCCAACTGCTTCGGCATTCCGACCTCATTGATTAACGATGCACTGTTGATTGCAGGCTTGTAGACCAAGGTCCTCTGATTGATTGTAACTGCAAACACACGATGACGTTTCAGGGTGCGAAAGTCCTCGACGTCCGCAAATGCAAAGGCGGGAAGATCGGCTAGTAGGTGCGCATGACTGACCACTATCTCATCCCAGTCGAGCCCTTGAGGGTGCCCAGGGCAGGGGCACGTACAGGGTGCAAGCTTCGGAGTGCGTACGTCCTCGGGGTTGGGAGTCAGCCGGAACGCAAGGTGACCCCGAGCAAGATATGCTTCTAGATTCTCAGGGCGTGGGCGCAGCTCTGACATAATAGGCTTTAGGTATGGCTACACCAGATTATTAATGCGGACAAAGGATTTCGCCATGTATAGATCGGTGCATTGATCGACAAAAGTCCGAGCCGAGAACTCCTCTTTCACATTATCGGACGTAGTCAGTGGCTAAGGAACGTCCCAGACGACGGAGAACTCGGTGTCCATGGGGGCAGCTTTGCCCAGATCCTTGTTACATTTCAACATAAGGCCTATATAGGCAGTCCGAAGACCCCCCTGGTCTGCGATGTAGCCGCTTGAACTGTGTGTGACTTTGTACTGGATTCCTAGAGTAGCCTTTCTGTAGAGCTCGGGGGAATCGAAATTCATGTGTTGCGTTACTATGGAGTATTGATGCTTTGTCAGTCCGGGGCCGCTGCCACCTCGCTGGCTGGATGCAGGGATCCACAAACCACTTACCCCAGTTTTGATCAGCAGATTCGGCGGCGTCCATTGACGAAGGACTATACCCAGCTGGGTCAGCCTTGTCAGTTTTGGGTGTCATTTTATCAGTGAGGTAGAAGGAACGAGGGGTTAGAGATATGATTCTGATGGGGTCGATGATTATGATGAGGGAATTGGAAAAAAGTCGAGATGCTTAGGTGGTCGGCAACACTGCCTTTTACCTGGATAGGATGAGAAGTACTTGAAAAGCTACAAAGAACACCAACTTGTATATAAAATAGGGACAGTCCTGTTATTCATGGGTCGGTAGCAGTTTTACGATTGGCTGAACCAGAGTCTGTAGCGCTTCTTCTGACATAGGTTTATTTATTCCTTGCTTAGGATATACTAACTATCATGACAGAGTTCGAACAACTGAATTCTTGGGGGGGGGGGGGTCGCGCTGAGGAATTAAGATAATATCTCTTTGTCTCCCGTGCGGAAGGGGAGTCACTGCAATGTGAGTAAGGCTTTAGAGCGTGAATCCTTTGCTGTTATTCTTCGAGCGAAAAATCTTTACACCGCTACTCCATTCAATGTTACAATATCGTGCGCTTGCGTAGCTCAAAAGCTCTTCTTGTATGTATTCACTGACACATTGTAGCATCGCCCATCAAGGGGATGAAGCGGCTAGCTTATCCGAGCCATTTCATCATCGCCATTTGTGCCATTTCGAATCCCACCGTCCTCATCCCCCTTAGCTGGGTTATCTCCAAAGACTTTCTCCATAGCGTCTTTGGTGTAATCGTCCGGGTCCCAAGCCAACTCCCGTGTCTTCATTTCTCCAAGCTTCGTCGCCAGAAATCTTTCGATCTCGACCCTCTCGTCCGGCCCCAAGAAATCAAGTGTCTGCTTCCAATTCTAATCGATGGGAGAAGAAAGCGACCCAAAGAAACCTTGGTCGATCTTGTGCTAGTACACCAGGTCAAAGGCAAAGTTATTTCTTGCCGCAGAGGCAATCCAAAAGTCTCCACTCTCCCAACTATGTTGCATCATATCAGAGAGCCGCTGCGTACTCTTTAGCGAGCCCTGTCCAATCAACTTGTCCTCTTTATATCTCGTTGCACCCAGAAAGGTCTGAAGGCGTCTTTCATACTCATGACACCAGTCATCCAGGCCACGAGGCCAGTATTCAGGCTTTTCAATTAAAAGCCACCAAGGTGGCGCAAAGGAGAATCCCACTGGGGCGGCATATGTGAACTCCCAGTAACACCCACAATCTTCAGCTCTTCATTCATGAGGATGTTAGCTGGGCGGAAGTCATCACACCAAATTTTGAAGGGGCCCTTGTCGAAGCATGCCAACCTCTGGGTTAAGCGACATTCTCGTGCGGGTTTGCGGAAAAGGTAGCGAGCAACAATCTTGCGCCGACAATCGTCGGCCGAGTCAACTGCATCGTCGTGCTGGTTCACAAGGTGCGCGATGTGCAGCTCCGCTAGCAACTCAAAGCATGAGGACGTGGTGTCGAATATCGTGGTTAATAATTTCGACTGGGGTAAGGACCTCAGCTGAATCAGAGTATTCATAGCCATCGACAAAGGTCTTTTCGTAACTTCCCATGTAAAATCGTCAACCTGGTTGAGTGAGCCTATCCAGGGTAGAGATGGTCGAGAAAGCTGGAGCAATCTACTTGTGGCTTCGCTGAAGATAGCCTCTAGTTTTGCTTCATTGACATGTGGATCAAGCATGCCACATGCTTCCTTTGGGCACTCCGGTGCATTAAGAGCATCATACATTTTGGTATCATGTTTGTTCAATGAAGGCCATAATAGTGAATGACACTAATCCTAAAGGACTGTCCTTCCTTGTCCCCCAATGGTGGACGAAAGGAACGGGCGTAGATGTAGGTAGCGACTTCATTGCTGACTTTCTCTTCAGGAAACAGAGTGGCACGGGGCTGAGGAAACCTTATTATGGCGGTGTTTGCATTCTCATATCTCATCTGGAAAGAGATATTCTATGCGGCTTTCTCCAGAAAACTGAATTCAACAGCATCACCGGGACGATGGTGCCTGACCAAGAATTGACCAACGTCTTGGAGGATTTCAGGTTTAGAGTACTGGCGGACCCTTCCATCGGCGACCGCTTCGCGTTTCTCCCAGGCGACATCGTCGAAGCACAGGCGTGGGTGTATTATGGATTCGGAACCTTAGAGGTAGGGTAATTATAAAATTTGAAAATCAAATTATTCGAAGCTATCACGGACGAGATGGATGGAGGCCCTGGGAGGGTTCATTGCGCATGGATGTTAAGAGCAAAGATGGTGAGGTGTAAATACAAAAAGGGAGAGTGATCGATCGCAGGCCACCACGTGACTGTATGTGTTACTTAGACGGAAGTGCAGAGCACCAAAAGATTAAGCCTTAGTATCTGGACTGTTTATCAAAGGCTTTATGGCTGGCTGAGGACTAGGAACTATGACTTGTAGCTATGGGGGGTTCTGCGAGGGACATCTTACCAACTAGACTAAAAACTCCAGCTGAGCAATGGATAGTCTTTATAAGAGCTTGGTATGTCAGTATTCTGTTAGTATTATAACAAGAACGGCTTCTACCTTTCAACTGGTATAGATGTGGAATGTGTATATCTCATCTCATTCAACTCCATGATACTAATCAGCCAAAAAGCGGCAATTAGACGACGTGCTGATTTGAAACAAGACAAGAGGTGAAGGTAGAGAAGCCTCTAAGTAGCATTTTACAGCCTGCCTACTAGAAGACCTATTTCTTAGCATGGTCATTATCATATGTCTCTGTCGCATACGGAGGCCTTGCCGGCACGACCCATCAAGGCTCGCTCCGTTGGGGTAACTAAATTGTCTTGTGTACGAGCAGTGGTTACCCCGCCTTTCCTGGATTATGTGTTGAGGGTACTAGTCCATACCACTGATTTTGTTCTAGAGTTGGATTATTACTAACTTTGTATTGATGTTTCTCCCTCATATTTTTCCCTCTCCAGGCAGATAAATTTCACGGTGCGTAAGAATTGAACTATCTGGTTCTGATGCAGATTCTTACCATAGCCACCCAAAAAGGAGCCGTCAGACTGTAAACATTCTGTGTACCCTAGTTGGACAATTTGTAGCATTGGACTACAAAACCCTAGTCCTCCTTAGCAGGAATCACAGGCAAGGTAACGTAGTTGTGAAACTTAGGGCCAAAGTGAACATGATTCAGCCCTAGCAGTTTTTCTTCAGGTCTGTGCAACGATTAGCTCGGAAACATTGCAGTCTCAAAGGTTGGACTTACCTGTCTAGCTTGTTGCTGTGGGAGAAAAGACCAACACCGTGTGTATCACCAGCACTGATCTCGATCTGCAATGCCCCACCTTTCCCAACCACAACATTGGTCGGCCACACTTCGATATCCACAGGGTATATATCGTTAGGAATGACAGGCTGGTAGTCGGAAGAATAGTAGTCTCGGTGGGGTAACCAAGGTTCATGAGTAGCACTGGATTCATTCGTTTTCCTAAGACTGAAGCGCAGCCATCCCTTGGTGACAGGAGCAGCTTCTCCAGTGGTACCGGTGTAGTAGATCTCTTTGCCTTTCTCGTCAAAGTGACGCAGCGTGACGAAGACATCAAGCTCCGAAGGCATGGGAGAGCCATGCAAACCGCTCATGGACACGTTCAGATGGGCGACAATGTGACCGGTAATTTCAGTCTCATTTTGAAAAGGTGGGGTGGTGAAGGTGATCATATCAGAGCTTCCACTTTTTCCCGGCGCCTTGTAGGATCGCTTCATATCCGTGTTGAGTGTTGGCGCAGTAGTCAAGAGGCTTCCATCAGGGTGAAGATGGAAATTCGTGTATTGCGTTCGCGCAATAGGCCATTCACTCTCGAACCTGCGAGGGAAAGCCTTTTCTGCCTCTGCATTGTTATATCCAGGATTGCCCTTGCGGAGGAGCAAGTCTACCGGTGCGACTTCTCCCTTCCGAGACCATCCAACTCTATCGTCATTCTTGCAAAATGCATCCAAGAAGCTGCGCTGCAATTCAACCTCTTCTGGATAGTAGAACGGAAGATCGTGGCGGCCAACGATAAATCGAATATATTTGAGCTCCGAACCTGAGCGCAGAAACCCTTCAACGTTGCCGCGTAAGTGCAATAGGAATCCACCCCAGTTGGCAACTGTCAAGATTGGAATCTTGATATCCCGAAGGTTGACATTGACAGCTGCGAATTGGTCATCATCGCGGTAAGGGTGCTTGGCAAGGTAGTCAATGATGTCGACTCTGTTGGCAGCTAGTTCATCCGCAGACAAGTCTCCTTCGATGGTGTCATCGCCCCAGTTGCGGGTGGCCCTTCCAGGAAGTCCATATTGATTGGATAAAACCTGTCTAGGATACCAGTAGTTGAAAAATCCGTCCGACATGATGCCGCCGTGACGGGCAGCATCGCGATAAGTATCAGTAAAGCCTTCCCAGGGAATAGCGCATACTAATCCTTTAGGCTGCCGGGCAGCAACTTTCCATTGCTGGGTCGCATAGTAGCTGATACCAAGCAACCCAATCTTGCCAGTACACCATTCTTGATCACGAACCCATTCGATGAGCTCATGATAGCACTCTACACTTGCCGCTGAGAAGACATTCATTTTCCCTGGTGATTGTCCTGTTCCAATTTCGTCACCACGGACAACAACATACCCATGGCGAGTCCAATACTCGGGTGTTGGAAGCTCCCAAGCCGCGTGTTTAGTCTGATGCTCAGGATTTACTTCGGCAAAGCTTGCTGGATGGAAACTGTTCGAGATTATCTTAGCATCGGTTTCCTGAGTCAGAATTGCAGGGAAATGCAGGGAACTTGGCGGAACTTGTTTCAGCGATGACATACTACTTGTACTCCACATCCTTGCCGTAAGGTCCCATAGTAACAATTGCTGGGAACTTCTGGGCAGGGTTCGATGTTTTGGGCTTGAAAACATTGCAACGAATGACATCTCCGGTAGACATGTGCACCGAGACATTCTTTTCCAAGACCAAACCATCCTCTGGATGGACGGTGCGGATGTCGCGAATTTCATTAGGCATATTTGTGGCAGGAGGTTCCAAGCGTTTGGAATTGGCCGAGAATTGAACGAGATATCTCTGATATTGAGGAAGTTGACGATCTCTTTGTTGACCCCCGTTGCTTTTATAAATCCCTATAATTTGAGACCAGGCAACCTGAGCATTCAGTATGTGCTGTCGGTCGATAGCTAGCAATCTTATGTCTGCACAATTCTCTTGTCTTGGCAGGTCCCGGAAAAGACGGAAAGCGCGGGACCCTCTCCTTTTACTTTTCGGCCTTATCATCAAGCCGAGAGCGAGCGGTTGCGGCGGATCACACAGACTGCTCGGCGTTGTCCCAACATTCTTCCCACAAAACCAATAATCTTCATATCTTTGGTGCCCCACTGACTCGGTTATCCCCCCAATCTCTCAATATCAAAATGACACCTGAAACAAAAACAGAATTCTCGCCACTTCGCGCTACGACTACCTACATCACTGGCCACAACGAACTCGGCAAAGCGATTGTGAAGGAGCAGAAGCCTGCGGAATGGAACCCTGTACTTGAGGACTCCATGGCCTTTAACGTGGTTTATACCACCTCCGAGCATCCTGTGAACATGGACAATGATCAAGACCTGACACAACACAAGCGACTGGTTGACAATGGCACCTTGGGTCTAGTGAATCCCAATGGGTCCGTCTGCCGGGTTGTTGATTTTGCCCCGGGTGAATCAATCGACCCCTTTATACATCGTACCCAGAGCTTGGATTATGGCATTGTGATCGAAGGCCAACTCGATCTCTACTTGGAGGAGGGTCAAGTTGTGAGAATGGGCAAGGGAGACATTGCTGTCCAGCGAGCCACACTCCACGGCTGGAAAAACCCAAGCGGCACTGACTGGGCTAGAATTGCTTTTGTTCTGTTGGATTCGAAGCCACTGGAGCTCAATGGTACGGTTTTGGGTGAAGAGCTGAACAACACTAGCGAAATTCCTGCCAGCCGCTGAATCATCCACAAAATCACGGCCCCGCGGCCGCGGACATATTTCAAACTCGTTGCATGACCAGAACTTAGTGCAACCTCGCAAAGAGAAGGCAGGAGGTGAAGGGTCAAGGTCTCGTGGCACTGTATATATTCATGCTTGTTGTACTCCGCTATGCAAGAAACCCTATGTCCACCGTGGATCACGCATTCTCCCATCAGGCATCGCAAAGACTCTGGTATGACCATGGGAAAAGGAGCCAAAAAATCTGTAAGCGTACCTTAAAATAAATCAGATAGAAGAGTATTTGAATAGCCAAGTGTCATAATCTGTGAGCGAGTCGGCTACGCAAAATCATCGGACACCGAAACGGCGCGACACTCAGCCGGCAGCCAGTACTTTCCATGACGCTTTAAGACACTGACAAAACAGACATCATTTTTCCTACCATAAATGCCGAAACCATCAAAGGAGTTGGTGGAACAAACAGAGCAGGCTTGTTCTCGCGGATGAGGCTATTCAAGAAAGGACCAATTACTGCAGTTGGTCAAGCTCCAGCGACTTTCGGCGGTCCGTGTTCAACTCTTCAAGATCGCTCGAATGGAACCACTGGCCACAAAGAGACACGTTCGGATTGGCATAAACTGATTCTTTTGGAGGAGGAATCACTTGGTCAATGGGTTATATCAGTGGTTCAATGTGGCGTACCGCCAAGACAGTTGTATTTTCGTGATATAGCTTCAATCTTGATGAAGAATTGCAGTCGAGCGCCGACATCCTATATAACGTTAAACATATGGCATTCTTTTGTACATAAATCTAGATTCCGATGTGCATATCGGGCTGCTTGTCAAGGCGGTCGCGTGGCCGACTCACTTACGGATTACATTGAACATACGGGGACTAAATGTGTGAATATACTGCATAGGACCTGTGTTCTCTACCGGAAAATCCTGAACTTGCTATGGAAAGTGGACTCAGAGAACCTTGCCTGATTGCACATAAGACGGCACCAGAGGAAGAAAAGTTAATGTCCGTCGGCTGGCTTGTACCAATGTCCGAACATGGTATGAATATCTGTCGGCCGAGACCTGTGTACCGACAAGCCCGAGTCCATTGTCTACAACGCACTGCATAAATGCATCTACTTCTTTTGGTGAAAGCCACCGTCTGAGCATTCTCTTCTTGTAACAAAATAAAAGAACATCATACCTTTGGCTACACATCTGTGAGGATAATTCAAATGGTACAGGGTGATTATGATAGTTCCGAGGTCGACTCGTTTGATTTGGAACCCGCCGTTCGTTCCATTTCCAGGTATGACAACCCGGGATTGCCAATAGATGTCGACTCGAGTCATCCCTCGAAGGACACGACTAGATGGAGGGACGTGCTTGCCGTGTTCAGTCCAGCGTAAGTCTTAATCTTGTCCTTTCGTGTAGAACCCTCAACTGAACTCATTGAAGGTGGTTCACAGTTAATATGGGAACTGGAATGGCCTCCATCCTGCTCTACTTCATCCCTTTCCACGCAAAGTGGCTTCACTATCTTTCAATCGTGCTTTTCTTGCTTAATGTCGTCATGTTCTGCATGATCTCAGTCATATCTATCCTAAGGTACTTTTTTGTGCCGGGGATTTGGCAGGCAACGGTCGCTGATCCTATGGTGGCTCCCTTTTTGGGTGCCATACCCATTGCTTTCGCAACTCTGATCGAAATGTGGGTATTCATATGTGTTCCACTATGGGGTGACTGGGCCAAAACGACAATTTGGGCACTCTGGATAGTTGATGCAGTAGTTGCGGTCCTCCTAACAACGTCGCTTTCATTCTTGCTGTGAGTTCGCCCGCGTCCTGAGGATTCACTCTGATGAATTAATCTTTCCACGGCAAAAGTATGTCCAAGTCCCGAATTCGTTCTCTGGACATGGTCACTGCCGTGCAGCTTCTTCCTATTGCGTCCACGATTATTGCTTCAGGTGTTGGGGCTGAAGTTGCCGAAATCCTGGTCTCTCGGGACCAGGCCATTGGGACAATCGTTGCATGTTTTGTTCTTTGGGGGATGTCAATGCCGCTTGCACTGATCGTTTTGGTGGTTTACTATCAAAGACTAGCTTTATACAAGCTCCCTGCGCGCGAAGTCATCGTAAGCTGCCTTCTTCCTGTCGGCCCTCTGGGTTTTGGTTCCTATAAGTAAGCGTCTCCCACTGTCATTTCATAAGATTTCTCCCGTGTCGAAAACTCAGCGAGTATGTTCTTACATTATATTCCTGTTCCAGCTTAATGTACATGGGAAAGGTGACATACGCGCTTTTTGCTGATGCAGAACCGGCGATTGCTATCTCTGCAAAATGTATTCAAGTTGTCACGCTAATGATCGGTGTAATCATCTGGGGATTTGGCCTCGTATGGCTTATCTTTGGCGTCACATCGATCTATATTACCTGGCCATTCCCGTTCAACATGGGGTGGTGGGGTTTCACATTTCCTCTTGGGGTCTACGCTGCCAGCACAATCCAGATTGGCAATGAGATGCCGTCGCTATTCTTCAAGGTACTAGGGACTGTAAGTACCAAATTCCAAGCTTGTGATAGTAGTACCATGATCTAACATTCACATTTCCACACCTAGATATACTCAGTTATGGTCATAATTCTCTGGTGCATAGTATTTCTGGGGACTGTGCGAGGGATTTGGAAACGAACGCTGTTTGCTACGCCTTCTACTGCCTCTCGATAGGTTCGTTCTTAGAATTTATATATGATTATACAGAACAATCCTTTTACCTGGATTTACCAGCAAAAGATGAAAATCGGGAGATATCATCGAACGATCGAAGACAAGACTCTTTTTCAACACATGTACTTGTATGGAATTTACTGTAGATTTGTGCATTATCACAATGCAGTGGAATAATGAGACTTCTACATTATTATTCTGTTACAAATTCTGGTGTCTGCACTGGGATTAAGATTTGCTTCGGAATCTGATATTGCCTGGGAAAGGTCTGAGATCGACGTTTCTATCACACTGCTGGTTGGCATTTGAAGCTTCCCAAATCATCTACTACTGGGGAGGGCTAATGAGTAAAGTTCAGAGCAATAATGAATGGTCCCTTTCTTGTTCAAGAGGATTTATGCAGGGAGCTCCAGACCCTTGATCTCTCTCGGCCGAGAGCAGGGCAAACATGCTTGCCGAGTCCCGATACCTGTTCGGTTACCGGCCCGGGATGCTCGACAATGCTACAAGTACACGCATTGGTATTAAATCCTTGAAGTTCGCTGCAAGTCTAGGTATGTAAGAAGGGTACTCAGTCCCTTGTTTGAACAGATCTTGGCGAAAATTGCGCTTCTACCACTTCTCGTGCCTTTCGAATCGTTTGAGTCCGTCCACAGTATGTCAGCCACGCTTTCCGAGATTCGTCAAGGGCTCGTGGGAACGTGGAAGCTTGTTTCCTACGTGAGCACACCAGCTGGACGCTCCGGTCCGGTCAATCATCCTATGGGTGCTGATGTCCAGGGTTATATCATCTACGGGGAGGATGGATATATGTCTGCCCAACTGATGACTCCCAGCTCAAAATTATACAAGGACTCAGAAAATTTCCTCCAAGCCAGTGATGACGAGGCCTCCCAAGCCGCCCGCAACTATCTTGCATACACCGGTCCTTACGAAGTCTTTGAACTTGATGGCAAGCCGGTGGTTCGCCATATTATGAACCTTTCTCTTGTGCCTAATTGGGCTGGCCACGACCAACTACGCCGCTGTGAGTTGAAAGGCTCTAGCCTTACTCTGGGACCTACTCAGCCTTGGAGATTGAATGTGAGTATTCCTCATAGGTTGGTAGAATTTATACAACATGAAGCTCAGGTTTTGTATAGGGAGTGCTTGTGGACCAAACCCTGACCTGGACGAAGGTGGGCCGCCAATAAGTTTGGATTTTCAGGCCCGTTCAGGCAAATTATCCGGATTTGCAATGACCAGGTAAGCTTAGAGAGGTCAACTCCTTGCAGTGAACTTGGCTCTGCGTGAAGCTCAACTGACTTCCCATGGACTAGAAGCCTGCAAATAAGATGGAGCGAATGTCTGGATTATTAAGAGAGAACAGCTTTCGTCCAGAGCTAGAATGTCTATAATGGCAGAGGTCGGATATTTACCGAGTTCCAAGTTTATATAGAACAAATGAGAGAGCTCTTTGACCAGAAACCCTAGGTTCGGGACCACGGCACAGGTGACCAACGGAAACTTGTTTGATATTGTTGGGACATGGCAAGAGCCTATTTTATCATATTACAATCAGAATGGTGTGGGTATTCATAGGTACACTATGTCGTGTTCCAAACCACACAAAATCTAAACCAAGACGGGGAACAATTTAGATCGAGTCTTCTACACCTGGCTTCGGATATTCTCTGTGTGCGTACCGACTGGCTGCGCAACGGGAAACCAGGAAGCTGAGAAGGGAGGCAGCCGAGCTTCTGTGTATAAGCTTATTCTCTGATGGGACCTGGCTTCAACGAAGTGCCTTCATAGCTAGCTAGAATATGGGTAGGGTAAAGTAGGCCAATAAAATTCGAATCCTACTTAAGCGTAATGAGTTGAACCGACACCTTCTGATCAAGGTAGATTGGGCATTGCTGACTGGTTTCTACTGGCAGAAACCTGCACTATATGATAGTTTCAAGGACAGGGTCTTAATGGGTTACACAAAAACTGATCTCCTCGTCAAAGATGTGGACTAAACCCTTGAGGGCCCGCTCCATAGTCCTCACGATCATCAGTTCAGCCCCCGCCATACTGGCTCTTAAACCCTGGCAAAAGCCTTCCTGTCTTTCCAACAACAAAGGAACGATCATTCTCCCCAAAGAAAAGACTGTCGATATCTTCCAAGCTCCGCCCACTTGTCTCCGGGTAAAACAAAAACACAACAATTGCAAACACAATGTTCAAGACGAAAAATATCACATGTCTTCCAACGGATGTTCGCAATGGCAACTGGCGTGATCTGCACGATCATGTAATTGAAGATCCAGTTGCTTGCGGTGGAGAGCGCGGCACAATGAGATCGATGACGCATGGGCATGATCTCCGGTGCATACAGCCACGGGATCGGGACCCAGCCGAAGCCAAACGCGGCCTCAAAGACGAAGAACCAGGTGAGGGAGGCTTTGGTTTTGGCGGTCGTGGGGTCTTGCTGCAGGACGCCGGCCTTGACTTGCATTGTCAGCGGATGAACGACTCCTACGCCCTGCTTCGATGTTTGGGAAGGAATGGCGCCAACGACAATGGAGAGAATGCTCACCAGCAAGAAGCTGAGGCTGCAAATGACAGAGCCCCATATTAAGGGCTTTCTGCGACTCATCTGGTCGAGACTGAATACTGGAATGAGGGAGAATACCCAGTATGTGAGAGCGAGGCTGGCTGAGATGTACAGTGCGGTTCTATCGGCGTACGCCAGGTCGGTCGTGAGGATATGAGGGAAATAGTACACCTAGATGGTCTTTTGTTAGCCTTTTGATATCTCCGGGATAGTAGATCCTATTTTCAATGGCACAAACAAGGATGTTGACCCCTGATAACTGCTGCATAATCTGAAGGCCACAGGCCAGCAGATATCTCCGTCCAATCTTCAACGGTCCACTTGCAAATACCTCGCGGATCCTCCAAGGTCCATCAGCTGCCTCGAGTGCCTGTTCTCTGTCATAAATATATCCTTGTGATACCCTGGTGTCTGCTTCTCACCAGAGCCCTATCGATTTCGGCCTTCAGCGCACGAGCTGCGGGGCTCTCAATTGTATCTGATCGACTCGACAGCTGTGCCAAGATATCCAATGCTTCATCGTGCCTGCCGTCTGGAACAACATGTTAGAGCTTCTCGGTCTGGTGCTACCAGTAAAGGAATGCAGAGGACTTACACTTGGTCAACCAGCGTGGTGATTCCGGTAGGACATAGACCAGCAATACCTGTGCAATAATAAAAACCCCCTGAAAGGCGATGGGCACTCTCCACTCCACGGGATTGGAAGGCGGGAGATAGGACATGCCAATGTTGAAGAAGTACGCCACGACAATGCCCCCGGCAATAAGATTTCCCTCCACAGAAACCAACCGACCGCGCGACTTGGCAGGGCTTAACTCAGACACCCACAGCGGGGTGACGGCGGTGTTAAATCCATTTCCCCAGCCACTGTATTATTGATTAGGGCGATAAAAGCTGCGCAGTCATGTCGAGGATAGCGTACCAAACAATACGTCCTATGATCATTTGCGGTGTTCCATATGCAGAAGCCTGAAGCACAGCGCCAACCAGCATGAGAGCCGCACCGAGATACATGCATCTCTTTCGGCCGAGCTTTTCACCCACAAAGAAGACATTCACCGCGCCAACAAAGTAACCAATCTCGTAAATCGCGTTGATAGTGCCCAGAAGGCTTGGTGACGGCCCGTCAAATGTATCCAGGAAGTCCTCTGCTGTATTCAGACCCTGAAAACCTTAGAAACATGGGATAGAGCAAATTGATCACGAGGAAAAGAAACATACGCTTAAAACACCTTGATCGTATCCAAACAGAAGAAAGCCGGTTGCTCCAGCGAGCGTGATGACTCGCATCAGAGCTGGACCTCGCAACCCACCGCAGTATTTTCGTGGTTTGAAGCTCGGATGGACCGTTTCCAGATGGCAGAGGCTTTCACCTCGCTCGTCGCTTTTGCTGGTTTCGGGGTGGCAGGCCATGTTGATTATGTGTACAATGGCCACGTATTTGACGCTGTGGGGGTATCGCCGATATTCCGGGGTGTTTCGAAAGTTGACAATAGTTAACCTGGGGGATCGTTTCAATGCGCGACTCAAAAAGTGGAGGATTCAAGTACTTAGGGCTAGAGACTGAACTGGAACTGGAAGATGAGAGCCCAAAGAGGTAATTCTTCGGCGGCGGCACTGCCACCCCCGCAATTGTCAGTTAGTTGCGGGATGCCCCGCACTCCAGCCCCAAGTATATCGCACCCCACCCCGCCCCAGTCTGCACGAACACTCCGGACTGAATCTATTCTGTCCTCACCCAAATTCTTCCTTTCGATCGGTAAAATCATAATGGCCCCGAGATCTCGTGGGCGAGGAGGCTCTTGTGTCCCTTGTAGGAACCGCCACGTCAAGTGCGACCGCCGTGTTCCTACCTGTTCGAATTGCACCAAATCGAGATTTGTTTTGGAATGCGGTTACGAGTCGCCTCAGACCAAGTCTCAAGCCCGAGTTCTGATCTACAAGCCCGGTGGCGGAGGCCGGAGGCCTCGCTCTACTAATCTCCAATATCTTTCCCCGGGCTCGTCTTCGGGCTCGCCTTCGGACTCGCAGGTAAACGACGAGTCAGTTCCGCAGCATGCCAGCGTGGAACCCTCGATGGAACGCCATGATGGAGCCTCTGAGACATTTCCCGTCGACCACAGACATTTGTTGCCCCAACAGAGACACTCGCCAGACGCTCAAGTGCAACCTGTTTTGCCCGACCTGATTGAGCTAGTTCCGGGCAACGGACTCCCCCAGGAGGCGCCCGAAGACATAGCCGTCCATCCCGAGACCCCGCGTTTGCCATTACCCACAGTGCCAGACGCAGTGCGTCCTCACCTTGCGTCGGATGCAACAGAAGCCTGTATCTTCAGCTTCTATCTTGAGATTGTGGGGCCGTGGGTAAGTTTGTAAAAGTGTCTATCCCGAGCTCAAGATGATTCGCGCTTATAGCCACAGTTAGACATAGTCTCTCCCACTCGATTCTTCGGCATTGAGGTACCCCGCATTGCGGTAAAGGAACCGGTCCTGTATGCTGCTTGTCTAGCATACGCTTCACATGTCCTCTACCTCCACAAACGTATCCCTCTACAGGTAAAAGAGGATCTACACGACCGCGCCCTCCGGAAACTCATTCCGGTGCTATCTTCGTATCGTCAAGGGCCCGGACATGATTTTATCCTCGCAACGATGGTTCTCTTGCGCATGACCGAACAGTTTCTCGAACCAGACCAAGACCATCAACATCATCTATATGGAAGTTCCACTCTTTTCCAGACAAGTTACAACAACTCGTGGCTATGCACCGAGTCGTTGTCTACCACCTCCTTCTGGGCCTACCTACGGGGCAGTATCCGGGTCTCAATCCTACACGAACGACCGTGTCCTTTTAGCCTAGACTACTCATCAATCATGCGGGACTATTCGTCGCGGAGTGCCACTTTGTCCGACGAGATGCACACTAATATGATAACCTATCTTTTGGCGCAGCTATGCAGTGCGTGCTGGGGCGACAGGGCCTCAGCGGAAAACGCGGGCGCGCCAATAAGCGGCATCAGTGAAGCAATATCCGATTGGACAAGCCGTCTGCCCGCGTCCTTTCAGCCATGGTATGTGCAGTTCAATGAGGGGAACATGTTTCCCGATGTACGCTACCTCGCTCCCTGGCACTGTAAGTGCGGTCCAAGGCAAGAATCTGTGATTCATCCAATTGATCTATATTTGGCAGACGTGGCTTGGCAATTTTACTATGCGGCGAGAATTATGTTAGCGGTATACTCACCCACAGTTCGCAACGCTGTGAATGTCCTCGAATTGACCCGGATGCTGGAGGTGGGTGAAGCAAGAATATCCCACGTTGATCGCATACCAGTTGACATTACCCAGGAATCCATCACCAGGCCGCATCGCTGGCTTTGTGGGGTGACCCTCTGCGCTAACATGAACGGGGTAAAGATCAATGGGAGCCATCTCGTGGCGTGGAGCGCGCAATTTGTCACAGGCCGAGCTGAGCAGAGTAAAATCCTGGGGATGTTGGCCTCGCTCGAGGACGAGACTGGCTGGCCAAGTCGGACCTGTTGCGCGCGCTTGCGGGGACTGTGGGATGGTTCGAGACGGTCGTGGGTGAATGAACAGTAGAATTTACCCTGTAAATTCCTCGGTTCCGATGAATTGCCTTTTCTGGGAATCCGACTCCGACACTGCACTCTGCGCACCATTGGTACCTTTCTTGTAGCAGCAGCTCTAGTGAATACGTGTCTGACTATACTGAGGATACATGACGTGTCAATCAATGGAGGCTCATCACCCTTTTAAGGGTCAGATTTCCAGGCCAGCATTATATAATAATGGCTATTTTTTGATCATCGACTGCTGAACGGGATCTGACGCAGTGCATCGTATGTTCCGGTTCATTTAAATGCTTATATTCGACGTAAAGAAGAGACGGTCCAGTTTGAGCACTTTGCTTGGAAACAAGAACCAACAAATAGCCTATCTACTTTGCGACGAGACGAACGCAAACCCCAAGTCACACCTCCAGGTCCTCTAGTTCAACATGGGCACTCTACACAAAATCCTAGACCGGGCTATCAACAGAGACATGGCCGCAACATTCCCTCGTATGGACGCCATACATGTGGCTGTCGTTGCGTTTATTGTCGTTCTTCTCATGCCTATTCTGATCTATCTCCGAGACGTCAAAGGGCTGCGCAAATATCCTGCAGCGGGCCCGTTTGGCATTGCAGCGCTCACTCCACTATGGCTCATGTACCATAACTGGTCTGGTGTTCGTTGGAAAGCAATCAAAAACGCCCACCAGCAGCACGGGAGCATCGTGCGGATCTCGCCCAACCACCTCTCCTTCACCGATCCGGACGCATACAAGGAGATCTACGGCCACAAAGCGGACATTGTCAAAGACGTATTCTACAGCAACATGGCGGGCAATACGCCCAACATGGCGGACGCAACCGACCGGGTGGACCATGCGCGGAAGAGGAAGCACTTTGCTGCTATCTTCTCCGCCAAGAATGTCGCCATGCTCGAGCCGCGCGTGCAAGCGTGTGTGACCAAGCTCGTCGAGTGCCTCAAAATCAAAGCTGGTGGCGGCATGGTCGCCGAGACGGATCGGTTCCCTGTGAGCTTAGACGGCAGCTTCGATATCAGGCCGTGGTTGAACATGTTCACGTACGATGCGATCAGTTCCATGATGTGGTCGGAGAGCTTTGGCTTCCTGGACCGGGGAGACGATTCGTGTGTTGCCGAGGCTGCAGACGGGGCTACGAAGACGGTGCACGCGATGCAGACATTCCAGGATTCGGTTTGGTTTTCGGTGTTTTGTGCTCATCTTCCTCCTCTTGCGTATGAGGCGCTCCGGTTCCTGTCGAGTCGATCAGCTTGGGTGAAGGCGTCTTCTGATTTCACAAGTGTACGCGTTGACTCCCTCTTCCCTCCGCCTTGGTATTGAGCAGCTCACCATTCCTTTGGGACAGATTGCACGTTATAAAACGAACAAGCGCCTTGGAGTTCTCCCTGAGCAGCAAGACATCTTCGCCCAGTTCCCAACGGCCTCCGACGACGGCAAGGGGCGTCATTCCCTCCCCATGTGGGAACTCGTGGCCGAGAGCAGCGTGATGCTCAATGCCGGTACGTTGCCCCGGTTTTCCAGCGCACCAACGCGGACAACCACGGTGGGAGAAATTATTAATTCCTGTGTCATAGGCAACGACACCACCCAAACCACCCTGACGAACAACCTCCTCCTCCTGTCCCTCCACCCAGAGATCCAATCCAAGCTCCGCGCGATTCTGATCTCCGCGATCCCCGCCTCCTCGCGTCCTGTGGCCTCATACAGCACGCTCTCTCAAATCTCGTATCTTCGAGCCGTCATCGACGAAAGCTTCCGGATCCTGACCCCACAACGATTCGGCCTTCCGCGACGGACCGTCTCCCCCTCGACGATTGCAGGCCATGTCATCCCCCCCGCGGTCACGGTGTCCTCCCCACTGAGCGAGCTGCACGTCAACCCTGCGCTCTTCAGCAAGCCCCGCGAGTGGATCCCGGAGCGGTGGCTGGCGGACAGCGAAGGGTTCGGGGGCGCCTCCGAGCGCGCGAACCTGAAGGAGTATGTCATGCCTTTCACGACGGGGGCTCGGGCCTGTATCGGTCGCAATCTGGCCTATATGGAGGTTAGTATTGCGCTGGCGGCGCTGGTCATGCAGTTTGAGTGGATGCTGGGCGAGGGAGGGCCCGAAGAATGCTTTGGCCAGTTCGAGAGGATTACCTCGAATCCGACCAAATTGGTTGTCCGGGTACGGCCGGTCGAAGCTTGAGGCTGATCTTGTCTGGGTAGTTGGGTGCTGGGAGCTGAACTGGAGGTTGTTTTTCTCAGGTTACCTACTGCGTAAGGATTTGCAACGGGAGAGGTGTTGCTCTTGCCTTGTGTTGTTCCTGTTGGCTTTCTCGCGCTTTTGTCCGGTTATGCTTTTTTCCTACTATTACCTCTCCGCATTTTTTATTTTTATTTTTACTTTCTTTGGCTCGGAATTAAACAAATTTTATCACGACGTTTATGGTATATCGCTTCCGTACCAGTCTGCACGCAAGAAACGTCTTATAGGTCTACGCGTAACTCCGGCTTCTGTGTTTCTGCTTACAAGTCCATACTTCGAAGTTGTCCAGGTGACGTGCCTACTTTTACTTCTTCATTGTTCAGAACTAGAGCTTTTTTCTCCGATTCACCATCAGTGGACTGCATAGTGATCGGGATTCAGTGATCGACTGTATGGTTGGATCCGGGCTCCCTGCCTAGTCCGAAAATGGTAATTTCTCGGCGAAGCCCTGAGCGGACGGAGATTTCTCAATCTCGGGAATTCACCAACTCTCATGTAGAAGACCCACTCGCACGGAAAAGGGATCTTGATTTGGGAGCCCTGAGTGATGATATCTCTGAAGACACATCCCCACAAGGCCCAAACGCACATTCCCATGAGAGGAAACAGAATTCGTATGTGCCAGGCCGAGAAGATGACGAGCGTCCTATAAATGGGGCTTGAATTTCTGTAACAGAATTGCAAAGAGAGCAACAAACGCAAAGGGAAGTGACTTCACTCTACGAGCATCTATCTGGTACTTTCTCGCAAAGAACCTTCTATCAAGGAAACTATGGAGGTAAACGTGTTCCCCATGTCACGGGCGTGCACCGCGCAATGCGAGACTCTGCTGACCCAAGCATTCTACGCAGAACCCGTCGTTTGTGCTTCGCGCACGTCAAGAGGTCGCCATCGAGGATCGCCCAAGGCCTGTCCTGGAAGATCCATACGATGTGCTTGTTCAGGTCGCGCAGACTGGTATTTGTGGCAGCGATGTACGGCAATCATGCAGTTCCTCTTGTTGAACCGGCCCTGACTGACTGACACTCTGGTCTTAGGTTCACTAGTATGTCTGAGCCCTGCCTCTTCCTTCCTTCCCGCATGACCTCAAGCTGACGAATCTAAACAGCTGGCAGCGCGGCCGAATCGGTGAGTACGTCGTCACAGGGCCGATGGTCCTGGGCCACGAGTCCTCCGGAGTCGTGGTCGCCACGGGATCCAAGGTCACATCATTTAAGCCCGGCGCCCGCGTCGCCATGGAGCCCGGGGTCCCCTGCCGCCGCTGTGAGTACTGCCGCAAGGGCTCATACCATCTCTGTGGGAGCATGGTCTTCGCGGCCACCCCGCCGTGGAACGGCACGCTGGCCAAGTACTATGTCAACGCGGCGGATTTCTGCTACCGTCTCCCGGACACCATGACGCTGGAAGAAGGCGCGATGGTAGAGCCGGTGGCGGTCGCGTGTGCCATTGGTAAGACAGCGGATCTGCGCGCGGGGCAGACCGTGCTCGTCCTCGGTTGTGGGCCGATCGGGGTGTTGTGCCAGGCTGTGGCGCGGGCGTGGGGCGCCAGGCTGGTCGTCGGGGTCGACGTCGTGCAACGCCGCTTGGAGATGGCGCGGAGCTACCACGCTGACGGCACGTTCTTGCCACCTCCGGCCGAGGCCGGGGTGAATCCCATGGTGCATGCGGAGGAGGTGGCTGCGGCGGTCAAAGAGCAGTACCTCGGAGAAGGCGAGAACGGGTTTGACGTTGTTTTGGAGTGTTCTGGTGCGGAGCCCTGTATCCAGATGGGAATTTATGCGGCGAAGAAAGGTGGGATGTTCGTGCAAGCAGGCATGGGCAGAGAGAATGTCGTCTTTCCCATCACAGTGGTTTGTACGAGGGGTTTGGTGGTCAAGGGGTCGATTCGGTATTTGCCGGGATGCTATCCGGCTGCCATAGATCTCATTGCAAGCGGACGCGTAGATGTCCAGCGACTGATCACGAACCGGTTCAGGTTTGAGGAGGCGGAGCAGGCCTTTGAGCTGGTCAAAGCGGGTAAGGAGGATGTGTTCAAGGTGATGATTGCCGGTGTGGACTCTTGAAGGGGCGTTATTTCGCCGAATACTTGCCTTTTTGGTAGTTGATTAGCTTTTAGCCCTAATGTATTGGCAGGAGTGACCGAGGCGGTAGTTACTCCGCGTACCACCTATCTTCAGTAATTACAAAGGATATTAAACGCCCCTTCCCATGTGTATCAAAGGCTATCCCACAACACCCCTTCCTCCGACTCCACGGATAGCTACCATGCCTCTCTACCAGCCTGCGGGCCTCAACGCCCCCGTCCTCTCCCAATTTTCTCTCCAGGGCAAGACCGCTGCGGTCACCGGTGGCGCCCGCGGAATAGGACTCGAGATTGTCCGGGCCCTCGCAGAAGCCGGTGCCGATGTCGCTCTCATCTATGCAAGCAGCCCGGAAGATGAGGTGCGGTCTGCGGCTTCGCAGATCAGCGCTTGTACGGGCCAGCGCGTCACCGTATTCCAATCCGACGTGACATCTCGCACACGGATAGCCGACACGCTGGAGCAGATTGCCTCCGCGCACGAGAACGGACGCCTGGATATCGTCGTCGCGAATGCCGGAATCTGCTCGAACATTGCCAGTCTGGAGTACGATGAGAGCTCCTGGCAGCGGGATAATGCGGTGAACTACGATGGTGTCATGTGGACAGCCCAGGCGGCCGGAAAGATATTCAAGCGGCAGGGAACAGGTAATCTCATTATCACTGCTTCCGTGAGCTCGATCTTGGTGAACATGCCCCAGACGCAGGCCGCCTATAATGCTTCCAAGGCCGCGGTGGTGCATCTCGCCAAAAGTCTAGCGGTGGAGTGGGTGGATTTTGCGAGAGTCAACTGCATCTCGCCTGGGTTTATTATGACGGAAAGTAGGTATACTCCGTACAAACAATTGTTGATTTGATCCTGGCTAATCCTCATTCTCAAACCAGTGATCACCCAGCAGCCGAAAGAGCGAGTCCAGAAATGGATGGCGATGATTCCTGGCGGGAGGATTTGTGATGCTGCGGAGTTGAAAGGCGTACGCTTTCTGTCTTGCTCCTACAGATGTGAATGCTAACCTGTGGTAGGCTTATGTCTTTTTGGCCAGTGATTGCTCCAGTTACATGACCGGGGCGAACTTGGTCATTGATGGAGGCTATACTCTGACTTAGCCCTTGGAAATGCAATTCTATCGCATACTAGTAGGAAACCTTTTATAATAAGTATATTATAGAAAAGGATTTTGCCGAGTATAATATTATATATCTATTTTTAATCTACTAAAAATATATACTAGAGAGAGATAGATTATAAACTCATTTACTAAAGTAATACTTAACAGCGAAACTAGAAGATAGTATATACTAGATAATCATAAACTATTAGAAAAAATTTCTTGAGAAAGTAGAGAAAGGCTAATTATGGAAAGCAGCTATCTATACACACCTGGGATATCTATATAAGTATCCCAGCTATCCGGGTAAAAACCAAGGAGATAACCGATAACTAATATAAGGTAAAGATATTTGTTGAATAATTATAGAATATTTTGCCATCAATATATTACCATGTTGATATCAAATCTGTATTGAAGAAAAGGCATTTTTGTATTAATGAATAAGATTAAGCTATTCCTTTATTTCACGTTATTTATTATCAAATGAGAAAATAGGATTATATGTCAGCTGGACCTAAAGGAGATAATCTCAAGTCAGTTCTGTGGCTTAGTAATTTCAGCATACTATCTTATACTAATTATTATTACTACAGGAAAAATAAAGTAGATGTTAAAGTTTCCACAGATTACATGCGTGAACATCGCGCGATCGGGGTGATTGCTTATCTATTCTTAAAACATACTCACCTTAACTCACTCCCGGTCGCGCGACTGTAAAGCGGCCTCATCTGTTAGCTCACCCGAGAGACACCCACCCACCTACTGGCCGCGTTTAAGCCACACGCCGGGAGGTTAGTAGTTGGGTGGGTGACCACCAGCGAATCCCTTCTGTTGTATGTTTTTGTTTTGCCTAGATGTAGTTCGCAGAGAAGGGCGAGTAGGAGATGGCTACCTACTCATAGTAATAAGCAGAAACATATCTCCAATGAAGTTGTTATGCATATCCCTGTCTTGACTTATGCATACCCAGAGAATTATAGAAACAACATGTGATAGTAAAAACCTTATGATGTTGAAGATAGAAATTCCTTGCTTTTATAATTTTGAACTGGCCAATAGTGAATAGGTGTTTTACCCTGTGGTTTTCTTGCTTTTTGAAGTTTGATTAATCGAAACACAAAGTAGCTTCCTAATTCATAAGACATCGGTCCAGTCTCTGGTCTACTGATGAAGAGGCGAGTCATGAAATATATGATAGAAGTCGAGATGCTATACCTGTTTATTGTTTGCGGAATCTCTATCCAAGAATAAAGGTGTGAAACTGGGGTTTTGCCTGTATCCAGATTTTCAGAGCAGCCTCTGCAAGTGCAACGCGCTTCCTGATGCCGTTTTCTGACTTAACAACCATCAAGTTCACAATGACCAAGTGGACATCGTAGGGACTGATGCGATCGATGTGGTCGTCTATAAAGATGGTTTTTTGTTTCGAGTCACGCCAGTTCGCGACGTCGCGACCATAGGTTTTTGCAGGATGAGATTCGGAGTACCGAACAATATTTCTTGTCAGGTACTGCAAGGACAAAGCCAAGACATCGAATTCGGCTCCATTATTCCAATCAGGAATATGACGAAGGCGTCCCCAGTTGATGGAAGTAGGTTCTAGCCACCCAACCATGTTGCCGCCTTGATCGAGAAGCTTGACATAGTCCATGGAGTCTTCAGAGCCTTTCATCCGGAGCCGAAGTGACTGGGTATAAACCAGGATGCATCCATCTCGACAAGCCTGCTGGGCTTTAAGTGGAAACCTTTCCTCTTGGTCACTCACAGAGAGGAGGCCTTCTTGTATGCAGTATGCTTCATCACCCATCTGGGCAAGCGATGTCCATCTCCTCCGAATGATATTATCATATTCTTCCCAAGTTACCTTGGCATTAAGTGCTTTTGGAAGCTTACCTGGGAAGCAACCCCCCTTCCAGGCAATCAATACAGCAAGACGAGCCAGAATATGCTTTTTGCCATACCGAGAATTTAGCTCATGGGGCTCTGTTGATGCACTATGAAGAACTTTCCATGGAGTGTGCCCATCCTGAGAGGACGGGATAGCAATTTGTGCTAGCGACGCAGAAATTCTCTCCCATGGGCTGTATTTATAGCAGAGGTGTATTGCATTATCAACGGATGACCAAGACCATGATGGAAACATTTCTTGTATGTTTTGATATCGCATAGGATAATCTCCATCTTCAGTCTTCCAAAGAAGAGCCTGACTAAAGTCGCTAAACGGCAGGCCATAATGATGGTTTTGTCCATAAAGGAAGTGTAAAATTCCTGAGAATGCGAAGAGGATATCAGACTTGCGAGTAAGATCCCTGCTTGTGTATTCGCCTAACAAATCCGGATATTTAGACCACGGGATTTGGACATTTGAATATATAGAGTAATGACCTGGACAGTCCTCATCCTCGAGTGCGGTCTTCCCATGGCAATGATAAAACACCCCTTGATCAGTGAATACTAGTAATCTTGGTGAAAGGATTGCTTCTTGGAATGTCCATCCTCGAGTTTGCCATTTTGAGGATCGACAAATCTTACCGTACGCGTCAAGGTCTTTAAGCAGGTATATTCCCTGTGTTTGACCTGTCCACAGTGGGGATCGCCTCTGTGCATTTGTTCCGGGAAGACCGTAATGTGCATCACTTCCTGCCATGGCAACTAGGGTTAGATATGACTGATTGTATATCTTGCCCATAGCATTCAGCTGTATTGCCTTCTTGCATGGCTCATCGTTTTGTAATATGCAAAGTCGATCAACCCAGAGAAATGGTATCCCTAGGCTTAAACATGCCTCTATTGCATTATTGATCGTTGCAGGCAGGCAGTCATCATCTGCAAGAGACCCTTCCTTGCTTAGGCCGTCAATATTATCCAGCTTTGCTTGTAAAAGGTCGCCTCCTCTACCCCAAACATAGCTTAGAGTGGCATATTTGCAGTCTTGAGGGGCCAATATGACACATCTTTTCTCGGTGTCAATGACGCGAAATTCTTCCACTGGTAAGTCATATGTTTCATGATGATGGGATACCTCATGACCGGTGCCATCTGCACAGTCTTGAAGCCTAGTGATAACCCTGTTCCAGTTTACTTGCGGCTCTGGCCTTTGCAGAGATATCAGATTTTTTCCCGATAGTGCACTCGCAGCCCCGATGAAAGTTGCCTTCCCTGCAAGACAAATCTAGTTAGTCTCTTTGATTCAATCACGGGTATATCATTAGGAGTTCAGGGAGACCCATAAAATGAAGGTGGGGAGGGAGGGGGCTATCGTACGATGGATGGGAGCGATAGTGGAAGACTCAAGTGATTCGAGTGACAACACGATCACCAATTCATATTTGATACCTCTTAATACCCCGGGAATCAATTCCACATCTAGCCTGATCATTGTCTGCGATGAAAGTCGATTCTGGTTCGCTATTGACGTTGCATGGCTAGCAAATGTTCCGCAGGTCTGACAAGACGTAGATCGTTTTTGAACATCATTTAGAGTTCCCAACTTGAGATTGAAGCCTTTAAGAAAATTCGTATTGGTTGTGTACCGTCTACATATTGGTGATTTTGCATCGTACTTAGAGACGAGGATACATCGTGCAAGGTGTCCTAGCCTCATATGTGCACAGAACTGACAAAGGGGATCTGTTTGGATATTCAAGCATTCTGAGCATTCAGTATGAAATAAATTATTCGCTGTAATGTCGTAAAACCTTTCTTGACTGTCGGTATATTCGCCATGAGTGTCTCCTGGTGTGTGGTATCTTAGCCTCAGGTTTCCCTCATTAGACTGACACAATGAGCATGGCTCTTTCGTAGGATCTTGATGACTTGAAGAGAACCTAGGTTCACGCATGAGAAGGTGGTAATCCATATTTGTTTGGCCAGAATTTTATGCAAAGAAATGCTTCAGAAATGTGTAAAAGTAAACAACCCATCATTGATGTTCCCTTTATAGGCCACGGGTTCTTTTAGCAAGTTATGGGTGTGGTAAACATGGAGGGGTAGTGAGCAATTCTATTCGTTTACTAAGAAGGACTTCCCCCTCTTTTGATCTAACGTGATCAGACAACGAAGGCTGCGGTCGGACCGCTGCCATATCAAATTGCGTGTATTGAAAATTAATCAACCAAAATTAGAGGCTTTCCAACATCACATAAATGGAAATATATACAGCTTCGCCTGATGATTAATTTAGTTGGAAGTTATAAACATATTCACTGCAGTGGCTGCAGTATGTGGCCAGCGCTATGAGTCACCTACTACTAAAATGCCTGATGTTAACTCCTCTTCTCTTTCTTAAGCCGAATTCTGAGCTTCATCTTGACCTTCTTAGCTTTTTGAGGTGCTTCCTTCTGGTAAAAGCTAAAGGGTTTCTTTTTTCTTATTCTACCTCTCCTTACTAGCCCCTGCCCGTTCCTTCCATTTTACGAGACATTCCGAGCTGAGAGGCAACTAAGAAACTAGTACGTACAGTCAAAGGGTACCGGCTGACTTCTTATCAGCCCTCTAGAGATCATACGGTTATCATTTCCCATTTTGTAAGATATAGAGTGCTGCGCGCAGCCTGTGGACTAAGAATTATAATTTATAATTGAAGAGCAGTGATAGCTAAATACAGTATTATGTTCCATGTATACTATATTATCTCAAAATACTGCTAAGTATACGGTAAAATGGAAGCACTTAGAAGATTCATTACTGGTCACTATCGAGCGCTACAGGGGAAGGTAGGGTAGATAGAGGTAATTGGACCTAGGTAGAACACAGGATGCTAACATGTTGTTACTCTGTACGGAGTATCCTATGGACTTCCAGATTGTTGTCTCGTTATATCTACCAATCTCATGTCAGTACGTGGCCGTGCATGCTGCCAAGGAAGGCAGTGCCACAGCCAGCAGCATTAACTCCATCTCATTAATTCTCAAGTGGGCATGAGCGAGGTAAGCATGGTTATCCCAGCCCTTATGCACTTATCCTAAAGTCACTCCGGTCGCCCAACAATAAAGCAGCGCTCGTCCTTGCCTCATGCAAACAGCACCCACTGCATCCATGATACTTTTAGTCGCTGCGGCACTGCACGTTCTGATAACAAAACTTCCTCATCCGCTCCTATATCTATGGGATATTTTATTTCCACAATCGGATTCCCTTCTCGAGATAAGATCACTATGCCAACAGGCATATGTTGTGGACGTGCGCACAAGAGACGGTGATGGCCTGTTCCGATGGCACACATCTCCACGAACAATGAAGTGGAGATTTTCACGTTGAGCAAGCGCCCTAATGCACTTCTCATTTAAGCACTTGCGTTGCCGATTCATTTCAATACCATTTGTCTTATTTCTTGTATTCTACATATCATCCTCCACGGTAAATGTACGATGAACACTAACCCGATGCTTATGCTGCACTCCACCGTGCCAACCGCCCGTCAAGTTCTCTTGACTGCTATTCAAGCATCTCTTCCCTAGTGGCGTCGACACAGACGTGATAACCCTGTGCGCGTGCGAATATCTACTGACATAAGATCCGGCCGCCAGTAGTTCACCTCATCCTTGGTGACCGATTTCTTCAGCGTGGAGATTGACAATGCATAACTCCCCGCAATGCAGCCCCCTCGCCGCACGCAATGTGGCCTGTCCAAGCGATATGATGCGCTTCCGTCGAGAAACCAGCGGAAGAGCGGGCGGAGGGTAATGAGGCTGCCGGCGATGATGGCGAGGCCGGTTTCCGTGACGGACCAGATGGCGATTTGGTATGTCGAGTCTGCATTGTCAGATAATTTTGCTGTGATGGGGTTGTGGAGAAGCTTACAGAGGAAGTCCGCGTCGGCGTAGTGTTTTAGGTATGGGAGGCGGATGACTACGGCCACGCTTGCACTATAAGATTGGTTAGCTTGTCCCTGTTCAGATGGAGGGAAGTCACATACACTGCTCCCAGCCCGAGGATCGCACCTAGTGCCACCTTTGTGCGCGGCGACATGTGCAGGTCCCAGATCAACGCTGCCGGGAAGACCCCAAGCGTAAAGTCACAGACAATGGTGAGAGAACTATAGGTGTATGCGATGATGAGGAGGATATCGGTTGATAAGCAGTTGCCCGACTCGAGAGGGTTGATCTGCCCCCAGAAGTACCCGATTGGCAGGCAATCGAGCAGCAGAATAAGCCAGAAGACGAGTCCAATGCATACCACAGAGCCTATCACACTCCAGAGAATGAAACGGTGCAGTGGACGGACAGCTAGTCGAAGGAGGGCAAGGGCAATGGCTACTTTGGCGACGGCCGACGCCCACAGGTAGAGCATTTGTCCAAGCCACCAGTACTGATAGGTGTTAGAGGCCGTTCACGGTGAGCGGAGCAACTTTGTGGAACGTACTATCATCGCATACTGCACTGCGTGCAGACTATCCGAGGGATTAATACTCTTTAGACTGAACGACTCGAAGTCCGCGAGCGTGTGGCCGACCCCGGCTTCCGTCCCTATCATACACAGCACGCTCAATGATATGAACAGCGCCTGTTACAATTTGTCAGTTTCAGATATCAAGCATCTAGTAAGAATAGGATGATGAAAATTACCAGCGCTGCTACCATAAGCGCGTCATCCCACCCAAACGCGCGCAGGATGTATAACCGCACAAAGCATCGCAACGTCACAGCAATTATCGCTAAGCCAACCGTGACAGACGAGACGATGAAGATTGCTAGGCTGTGACCAACCAAAGGTAGGGTGTATTCCATTCTGACCAGCAGACAACAGGAAGCTCGTTTAGTCAATCGGCTCAAAACCCAAGAAGCAGGGAGCAGAAGGGCCTTATACGCGTTTGTAAGAGCTAAAGCGCGGCTCAAGAAAGGAGGGTCAAGGATCGGATCAGCAGCACATCGAAACCCTACCTACTGGGGATTTACAAGCGGGAAACGGTTCATTTCATCAGTAGCAGCACGACTCGCGTGCTAATTAGACTGGGCGTCGGCGTTGAAACAGTAAGGCTAGTTCTGAATATAGAGTGTAAAGGGCCCAATTGCCACACCAAAACCCATATCAACTGGAAATTCCTTGTCATTTCAACGAAGGGGTATGCTAAACAAGTCGCATTGATGGCCTACTTCTCAATCTGCCAGTACTGCCATTCTCGCAAAATCATCTTCCTTAGCTGTACTGGTAGAATACAAGAGAGAGATTCCCGGTCGACATCACTTGATACTCTCCTAGGAGTGATGCAATGGCCCAAGCTCTGTTTCAGTAGTGCTCTTCACTTGTTTCATATCCTGGCCCTTCCCGCCCCCCACAGTTCTACAAACCATCGTAGACTAGGGCAATACACAACCCCTCTAATCAAATCGCCCGCAATTCAGAACACCAGATCAACAGTTCCCCATCTACTGATCATCTCGATCCAGACTTAAAGTGGACCCGAATGTAGCAGAGCTTATTCCATGATAGGATGTGTGTGGGGCTAATTTAGAGACACGCCGAAACTCTCCTGACTCGCGTCTTATGAAAGGAGCTTGAACCATATCCCTGCAAAGTATAATTCGGCGACTTTGCACAGATAGAACTCGACACGAGGATAAGTTACAACGCCATGTCGCTAAGCGCTATTCTTGGTGCTTAGGTTTAAGTTGTGTGCTTACTGGTGCGTCTGACAATGCCGAGATGGCCAAGACGGTTTATATGCCGAGACTCTTATGAGAACCGTGAATGACGTTTCAATTTGCTTGTTGAAGTTTTGTTGCTTTTACATGGGGACTGATTGTAGCTAGCTACCTTAAAAGAGTCTATAGTCGCAGTTCATGGAAGTGGTTGATAAGCTGCAGGCTACCGCGTACAACCCCGGAGGATCATGCATCCACCCCATCCCCATCTCCACAGCACTCGTGAACTAGAGCCTTCATTTAGTTAGGATGTTCTGGATTGTACTGTATGGATGGACATTAGATACTAGTACCATCTGGAGCAACCGGGTAACAACACACTTTAATTTCCTCTTAAACCATTCTTGCTATGATGTCATCTCTTATTCTAATTATTTTATTCTATTCCATTCGACAATATTATTCAATACTCTCGTCAATATCCAGAATATCTTTACACTTACAAATGCCACAAAGCTCATTGGTCAGGAACAAGAATTAACAACCTTGGCTACCCGCCGTGGGTTCTTAGTAAAGGCGCCGCCTGGTCATCACTCGGCAACCGCAGCTGTCGTGATGATGATGCCGCCCAAACCTTAAGTATGAACCACGATCGTATTTAGTATTGATAGCAAGGGACATGTTACACAGTCATTCATAATGACGTCTAGCTACACACAGTTAAAAGAGGGCTAGAAGGACCACTGATAAATTACATAGTGCAACCAGTACTCCTCTCCAGCCCTTATAATGACTATCCGCCATCTTGTCAACCCCTCTCGCCCTATTCTTAGGCCCTTACTCTTTACTCAAAAACAGCACCGCTTCATATCCCAATCACCCATCATCATGGCATCCCGTATATCCGAGGCAATTAAGACCGATCACCGCGAGATCGAAGACTACTACAACAAGATCCTAAGCTCTGCTACCGAGACTGAGAAAACCAAATGGCAGAACCAATTCACCTGGGAACTGGCCCGTCATTCAATTGCTGAGGAACTGGTCGTCTATCCCCAGTTCGAGAAGTCCCTTCCTGACGGCCTGGCTATGGCAGATAAGGACCGCAAGGAGCATCAATCTGTGAGTTTTCCACCAAGCTTTTCACCCAACAGCTTATTAACATTAATGTCTGTAGGTGAAAGAACAACTGAAGAAATTCCAAAACATGAAACCCACGGACCCGGCATTCGAGTCTACTGTCCGGGCTTTGATGAAGGATCTGTCCGAGCACATCAAGGAAGAAGAGAGTCAAGATCTACCGAAGCTGGAGAACGCCGTGTCGGTAGAGGAAAGCGAGAAGCTTGCCAAGTCCTTTGGAAGGACGAAGATGTTTGTGCCGTCGCGGTCTCATCCTAGTGCGCCTGATAAGCCGCCTTTTGAGACGGCGATTGGTTTGTTGACGGCCCCGATTGATCACCTCGCGGATTTGTTTCGGAAGTGGCCGCATACGGAGGGGATGCCGAATCCTTCTACTAAGTGATGTATCTAACTTATTTATTGTATGTTGTGGGTGTGTAATTAACTTTGGGGTGGATTTTATTTGATTATCTTGGGTATATTGGGAGGGATGGCAAGAATGACACACATGCAAAGTGTATAGTATTGTTAGGCGTACCTGGTCTATTTGAATTGGTTTTATGCTAGAAATCGCAATTATTGTTTAGCACACTCAGTGGAATAATGGCAATATAATGCGCGCTAATTATAGCCATATGAATACTCAAGATTAGAAGTGACGTGTGTACCCTATGTATCTCCCCTCTCCATCTCTCGTTCCTCTATCTCCTGACCAGTAGCGTTTCGATGCGCATCACCCAACCGAATATCACGCAAAGACAAACTAAGAAGAAACCCCACCGCGGCAACAGCAGTATAAAACACCCACACCCATCGCAGCGCAGCCGTCAACGCATGGAACACCACCGTCCGATCCTCGCCAACAGGTAGTGTCTCCACAATCGCAGCAGCAGCCGTCGAAGCCTCTACAATCTCCTGCGCGACCGTCTCCCCAAGCACCGCGGCCATCTCTCCGCGTTGCCCGCTTACAGCGCGCGCGTACAATACTGACCCCACAACGACAGATATCGCGGCAGCCAGCTGGCGCACGAACGAAAATGTTCCAGTACCGCGACTCAGCTCGGCAGGCGTGGTGTTGGCCTGCAGGGCGATCAATGTAGCTTGGAAGTTAGGACCTATGCCGAGACCAGCGACAATCTGAAAGAGAATAATGCGCGGCCAGGACTTGGTGGCGGGGAGGTCGATGAATAGGCCATAGCCCAGGGTGGCGAGGAACATGCCTAGGATGATGGCTTCGCGAGAGCGGCCGGTGGTGCGCATGACGAAGCCGGCCAGGCCGGATGAGATGGCGAGGGCTCCTACCAGTGGGAGGAGGTAGACGCCGCTTAGTAAGGAGCTGGCGAGGAGGATGTTTTGGAAGTAGACAGGGAGGTAGAAGCAGGAGCCCAGGAAGACGGTGGAGTGGCAGAAGTTAATCAGTAGGATGGTGAGGTTGTAGCGGTTGGAGAAGAGCGTTGTGGGGATGATAGGGATCTGTGCGACTCGGGCTTCGTAGATGAGGAAGAGGCCCGCAGTGAGGACCCCGAAGATAAGGAGACAGATGATCGTTGGGGAAGACCATGGATAGAGTGAGCCGCCTAGTTCGAGGCCGAAGAGGAGCATGAGTGTCGCGCCGACGATAAGGCTGAGGCCGATCCAGTCGAGGGAGAGAAGGCCGGTTTTGAGAGGAGTGAGAGATGCAGTGTGTAGTTTGAGGAAGAAGAGAAGGCCAAAGAAGGCAAGGCCGCCGATTGGTACTGAAGATGGGGTTTAGAAGACTGGCGTCAAGAGAACTGGGGGATAGGACGAACAGTTGATATAGAAGCACCATCGCCAGGTCGAGTAAGTTGTGAACGCGCCACCGATAATGGGTCCGATGGCACCAGCAATCGCCCAGGTTGCGCCGAAAATGCCTAGATAGGCTGATCGGCGACGCACGTTGAACATATCCGACACGCAGATATTGGCTAACACAGTGATGCCGCCGCTGCCTACGCCTTGGATAGCGCGGCCCGCGATGACCATATTGACATTGATCGCTACACCGCATATCAGACTGCCACCCAGGAACAGTGCGACAACTGTCATAAGGATCGGTTTGCGGCCCCAGATATCACTGATACGACCCCACAGCGGCACACAGGAGGCATTGGCTAGCAGATACGACGAGGCGATCCATGTGTAGGCGCTGTCGGAAGCTTTGAAATGGGCGACCATCTCTGGAAGAGCTGTGGAGACAATGGTCTGTGGAAGCGTAAGGGATTTGCCAAGTATGATCGGTTTTATTGACCTACAATGTCTAGCGCTGCTAGGAAAACACATAACTACACACGAAGATTAGGCAGTGCACGAGACAGTGACGGTGATTATTTGGATATGCGTACACTCAGGGATGTCATCACGACTGCGACCCTTTGTTTGCTCTGATGATCAGTGGGAAAGACATCCTCCGCTGTTTCAGTAGAAGTGTCTTTTCCCGCATCATGCTTGACATGATTGGAGAGGATGTGGTCCTCTTCTAGGTGTTGGTACTGTCGAGGAGAGTGATCTTGCTCTGCATTGACAGCCATGAAACAGAGACTAGCGTGAAGACCAAAAGGAAAAAGGAATGTGAGGGCCTCTAGGGGAGAGGAAAATGCAGTAGTAGCAAAACAAAAAATATGAACGAGCGGGTAAGACAAAATGATGTCAGAAAATCAAATAATGAAAGAAAAGGTGTTGTGGGATAGTCTTCTACAGACAGATGGCCACAAGAGTCCAGAAGACTCAATATGTAGGCAGCACTCCTTGACAACTTCAATGGCAGCATGTGGGGAAATAGATCGATCATAGATTTGCACAACGTCATGGCTATTCTGGGCTCTGATCGCGATGCTGACCACTGGTTGGATATGCCTGTGTTTTAGGGTGGAGACAAGGAGGAACATCAAGAAAGGGGCAGGAGAGACATAATGGGGACCCAATTGGATGGATGTCCGGCTCATTGTTTTAGACTAGACTACTTACTGGCCGATGAGCCGGTCGGCAAAACAACAAAATAATTCAAC